GGACAGATTACTTTACTTTTAGGAGCCCGTGATTTCCTTATCGGTAAAATAAGATCAATAATCTGTTTACGTTATTGATTTTTGCAAGTGTCAAGTGAGATATTTCATGCAAAGTCAGGACAGAGATTATTTTTTTAGTGTTACTTATATAGAAAATGAACCATTGAGGAGGATAAAATGTTGAAAGTTTCTGTCCCATGCTATAAGAGGAAGGACTAAGAACTCTTTCCTCCATTTTCTTCAACTCTTTTTTTTTTTTTTTTTGTGGTACGTGCCCGTAGCGGGAACCAAACCCAGGACTCTCTGGTCCGCAGGCCGACGCTCAACCGCTGAGCCAAACTGGCCAGGGCTATTTTCTTCACTCTTATGGGAAATACTGAAAGAAATACAGGACTTTTGTTGTGGCCATGGCTGAGAGTCCTGATCACAGGTAGGGTGTGCTGATGTCACATTACCACTTGTTAAGACTTGCTCAGAACTTTGTGTTTAAGTGACTTGTTAAAACATTTGTACTTGTGCTTGAAGAAAAATGTGAACTCCCACATTGTTAGAGTGATTTTCTGAAAACAGACCTGCTCAGGCCATCCCCCTTTAAAACCCTGCAGGGTCCCTCACGGCCATGAAAGAAAGGCTTCATAGCCTGACAGAGGAGCCTTGTACCATCCAGCCCGCTCACTTTCCATCTTTACCTCCCAGTGTTTCCCTTGCACTCCAGCCGTGGCAGTGCTGTGCCTGCACCATGATTTGACTGAGATGTTTTGGGAGCATTAGGGCATGAAAGTAAGAGAGGGAGTGGAGGTGAAAGGGGAGTGGAGGAGTTGGTATAGACTAGATCTTTAATGAGCTTTCTAACTGTGAGAGTCTATGAATATTGTTAAGGCGGTGTGAAGCATGAAAATTGGTAAGAAATTGGGTTGGCCAATGATTTTTATTTTGTGCATGGATTATTATTATTATTATTATTATTTTATCCTCACCCGAGGACATTTTTTCATTTTTTGTTCAGATAGAGCGGGAGGGAGAGAGAGGAAAGAGAGAGAGAGAAACATCGACGTGAAAGGGACACATCGAGTGGCTGCCATTCGCACGACCCAACCAGGGCCAGGTACATGCCCTTAGTGGGAACTGAACCCAGGTCTCTCTGGACCGCAGGCTGACACTCTAACCGCTGAGCCAAACCAGCCCGGGTTTTTATTTTTTTAATTAAAAAATAAAATTGATTCCAGAGAGAGGAAGGGAAGGAGGGGGAGGGTCAAAACCATAAACATTGATCAGTTGCTTCCCACACACTCTCCACCCCAACTGAGGATCAAACCTGCAACCTGGGCATGTGCTCTGACCAGGAATCAAACCCAACACCTTTTGGTGTACAGGATGATGTTCAACCAAATAAGCCCGCCACACTGGCCAGGGCAATTATTTTATTTTTTATTTCAGCTTTATTGAGGTATAATTAACATACAAAATGGTAAGATATTTTTAGTGTACATCGTTGTGGGTTTTTTTATACGTATACATTGTGAAAGGACCATATAGTTAGTAAGTAATGCCATGCAATATTTGTCTTTTCTCTTAGCATATTTCACTTAGCATAATGCCCTGAAGTTCCATCTATGTTGTCACAAATGGCAGGGTTTTCTTCTTTCTCATGGCTGAATAACATTTCATTTTACACACACACCACCCCCACATCTTTATTTATTCATTTGTCGATGGGCAGTCAGATTGTTTTCATATCTTGGCTATTGGGAATAATGCTGCAATGAACAGGGGAGTTCAGACTTGTCTTTGATACATAGATTTCCTTTCCTTTCCTTTGACTATATACCCAGAAGAGGACTGGCTGGGTAATATGACAGTTCTGTTTTTTATTTTATTTTATTTATTTATTTATTTTTTAATCCTCACCCTAGGACATTTTTCCATTTTTTTTTTTTTTTTTTTTTGTTCAGATAGAGCGGGAGGGAGAGAGGAAGAGAGAGAGAGAGAAACATCGATGTGAAGGGACACATCGAGTGGCTGCCACCCGCACGACCAACCAGGGCCGGGGACAAACTGCAACCCTTAGCGGGAACATGCCCTTAGCGGGAACTGAACCCGGGTCTCTCTGTACCGCAGGCTGACGCTCCAACCGCTGAGCCAAACCAGCCAGGGCAACAGTTCTGTTTTTTAAAAAATATGTTTTTATTGCTCTTTTAGGAGAGAGGGAGAGAGAGAGAGAGAGAGAGAGAGATAGAAACATTGATGTGAGAGAGAAACATTGATCAGCTGCCTCCTGCTCACCTCCTGCTGGGGATTGAGCCCGAAACCCGGGCATGTACCCTGACCCGGAATGGAACCAGGACCTCCTGGTTCATGGGACAATGCTCAATCCATTGAGCCACACTGGCTGGGCCTATTTTTAATTTTTTGAAGAACTTCCATATTGCCTTCACAGTGGCTACACCAATTTGCAGTTCCACCAGTAATGTACAATAGTTCTCTTTTTTCCTCATCCTCCCCAACTCTTGTTATTTCTTGTCTTTTTGATGATAGCCTGCCTGTTTATTCTAGCTCTCTTACTCTGCTTATCCATTTTCACCAAATCACAGTTGGCTTTTCTTCTGGACTGACACTTGGATGATGTGTAAGGCATTCTGCATCACTATAGAAAACTTCCTAATGAAGCTGTTGATCAGGACTGTTTTGTAGCAGTTAGACCAATGATGGCACAGATAGAGGGTTGTGGGGGATGGCTCATGGTCCCTCCTTTTACTATGATATTGATCTAGTAATCCCAGAGGAGAGGAAAGCCTGAACAACTTTGGTACCTGGTTCTGATTCAAGGCAAAAGCACTTACTGTGCTGTTTATTCATCATCTTCCTTATGTGTTCATCTTATTTTGAGAAGAAAAGTAATGTCTTCTTCATATTGTTACCTGGCAAAGAGCTGTTGCTGACTTACACTAGAATTGTTCTAAGTTTGTCCCTGTTAATGAGATCACAACTTAGACTGTCCCCTGGGAACTGGGTTGCTAGGAGCTGTTTGCTGTATCCTTTAGCAGTAAAATATTGGAGGGGATGACTATATGAGGTTTGTCCTGAGACTACAACTGATTTCCATACCAATGACCTACATTCTTTCCCACATTGTCCTCTGGTCTTTAGGCTCTTCCACAAGTATAGTTTGGATTTTGTAACTGTTACAAGTTGCTGTCTAATTTAGTTACTATGGTATCCCTTCTGGAAAACTCATTTGTTCCCCTGTGGCTCCCCACCCCCCGCCCAATATTTAAGATTTTAGAAGTAGGATAGATTTGAAAATGAGGTTCAGTGATTGTTCTATAGATCTTGAGAAAAACAGGTAAGTTGTTGCTTTTCCTTATTGTGTTTTAAAGATTCTGAGTAGTAATCTTAGTTTGAAAAGAGAATACAAGAAATGTCATTCTTAATTATAAAAGTAACAATTATAAAAGAATGATACATTCAAGCTCTATTTTATATCTTTTAAGCAACTTTGTTATTTTTTTCAAGCAACTTTATTAATATAAAGAATTATATAAAACATACATAAATGGATTATAAATGCATTTGCATGCTGTTTGGCCTGTTTTTCTCTTGGCATGTTAGTGTTTTTATATAATTTTTCATGGATAAGTGTGTCTGTCCATATAAAATATGGCATATTTAAATATTTCTTCCAATTTTGCCTTTTAACTTAAAATTCTATGTATCAGTGAACATTATAAATGTTTCATTTTTATGTTCTACCTGGCAGCAAATCGAGTTTTTACTTTAGTCTACTGTATCTTTGAATTTTTTTTTCCATTGGCTTTTCAAGATTTTCACTAGTGAAACAGACCAGGCAACATCTAGTATTTGGGGATATTCCCCTACCCCATTGGTAAAGATTGTGGGGATAACATCAGGTTTGTAATAATTTTAAATTAGAGGTTTTAATGTGGGGTGAATGAAATCTCTGAAATACATATTTATGTATATACCCTTTTTTTCTGGGGGAGGATCTATAGTATTTCTTAGCTGTTCAAAGGATTCTGTAACTCAAAAAGTAGTAGTATAAGTCTTAGTTACATACCTTTCTGTTTGTAGAAAACATATGCAAGTAGCCCTGGCCAGTTTGGCTCAGCGGTTAGAGCGTTGGCCTGCGGTCTGGAGAGACCCGGGTTCGGTTCCTGCTAAGGGCACGTACTTCGGTTGCAGTTTGTCCCCGGCCCTGGTTGGTCGTGCGGGTGGCAGCCACTCGATGTGTCCCTTCACGTCGATGTTTCTCTCTCTCTTTCCCTTCCTCTCTCTCCCTCCCACTCTATCTGTACAAAAAATGGAAAAATATCCTCGGGTGAGGATTAAAAAAAAAGAAAACATATGCAAGTAAACTCTGATTTATTATCTTGGGCTTCCCTGAAATCTTGTGAGAGGTGTTTGAGGGGGAAAATATAATTTTTCTTTCCCCTTTACAACCTCTTCTCCTCTGAAACACACTTAAGCATTCATTTTTATTGCTTCCATTAGAGTTACCCTCAGTGTTTTAGCTGAGATAATTGACTATTTTGGCAACCCCAAACAACCATAAAACCTTGAACCTAGAAATTCACTGTGGGTTCTGAATGCTAAAACCAGAAGAGAACTTCAGCAATGAAGCAGTTGAGATGGTGGCTTCAGTTACAAGTAGTTATTCTTAGGAATTCTTAAGGAGTAATTTAAGGACTGAGGGAAAGGATCCGAGGCTCATGGGGCAGTCAGGCCTGGGGAGCCAGCTGGCCCTGTTACAGCAGGAAAGTCGGGTAGAAAAGGTGGCATTTATTCTCAGGAATTTTCCTAAGTTCTCTGCCTCTGAAATCTGACTGGGTCAGGACAAGGAGGGGTGTGAAATTGGATCTTAAAGGAGTGTTGCTTATTTTCATCTTAAGTGTCTCCAAGGAGAATGGAAATTAAACTTGGATTTTCTAAGGAATGCCTCAGACCTTCCTGCCTTTTCTGAAGTCTTCTCTCCCTTTGTGCAGGTGGATGGAAGCATGTCTCGGGGAAGATCTGCCTCCTACCACAGAACTGGAGGAGGGGCTTCGGAATGGCGTCTACCTTGCCAAACTAGGAAACTTCTTCTCTCCCAAAGTGGTATCCTTGAAGAAAATCTATGACCGAGAGCAGACCAGATACAAGGTGAGCCCTCCTGGCTTGATGCTTAAATGTTTTAAACTTGAGAGAGATTAAAATGCTTTATTCTGTTTTAGAGTTATTGAGAAATGTGCTTAAGTGTGTTTGTTCCAACAAAACAAAACACCTGACAGAGTGGAGAAAACAGTGCAAAGTCAAGGTATGGTAGTAAAACAATACAGCTGTCTGTATTTCTGGTGCATTTCTTAAGATGGTGGATATCATCAAGGTCCTTGATGAATTTTTTATTTATTAGAAGGTAGAGGAAGTAACTAGGGGAACTACTTTATTCTTATTTTTTTATCCTCACCCGAGGACATTTTTTTGTTTCTTTGTTCAGAAAGAGTGGGAGGGAGGGAGAGCGAGAGAGAGAGAAACATCGACGTGAAAGGGACACATTGAGTGGTTGCCACCCGCATGACCCAACCAGGGCCAGGGACAAACTGCAACCGAGGTACGTGCCCTTAGCGGGAACCGAACCTGGGTCTCTCTGGACCGCAGGCCGACGCTCTAACCGCTGAGCCAAACCGGCCAGGGAAGGGGAACTACTTTAAATCTAATTTAAACCAAGCACTGAGATTTGTTGGCAAATTGAAAGCAATAGCAACTTTAGCAAAAAAAGATCACCCTGTGATATTAGAGTTGAAGGTAAAATGGGAAAGCAATCCAGTTTCAGAAAATTGAGATAAGTGAAAGGGTTTGATTCTTGTGGTCTAAGGCCCTGAAAAAGAAGACTGCTTAACCCTGGCAGGTTTGGCTCAGCGGTTAGAGCGTTGGCCTGCAGTCTGGAGAGACCCGGGTTCAGTTCCCTCTAAGGGCACATACCTTGGTTACGGTTTGTCCCCGGCCCTGGTTGGGTAATGTGGGTGGCAACTACTCGATGTGTCCCTTTCATGTCGATGTTTCTCTCTCTCTCTCTCTTCCTCCCACTCTATCTGAACAAAATAATAATAAAAAAAAAAAAAATCCCTGGGTGAGGATTAAAAAAAAAGAAGACTGCTTAGTTAACAAGGACCAAAATCTGTTGTTTATAGAAGCTTCTGTGGGAAGCTTTCCTGTGAGCTCTTATTTGACAAAAGGATGCGTGTAAAAGACAGTGGAAAATTGCAAAACCAAGAGCAAATGTAAGAGGGGTTGACCGTAAGAATTTGGCCAGAACTCAGAATGAGCTAGAGATGAATATAATCTAAAGAGATTTTTATATTTTATGTTTAAAGTTAAAGGAAAACAAGGAAGATATAGACCCTAAGCCAAATTAAAATTTCAAATAGAAACTTTTCTTAATCAAAAAGCAAATTCTTACATATTGAGTTTTAAATAAGCAGTTACTGTGAAGACAGCTTTAGACCTGTTCTGTTACAAGTCTGTAAAATGTGGACAGAATAGCTAGACGTTAGGGAAGAGTGGAGACTGCAACAGCAATGAAAACAATAGTCCTATGCCTGTAGCCCTCTTGAGAGTAAATCTTTCTTTTTTTTTTTTTTTTTATCCTCACCCGAGGACACTTTTTCATTCTTTGTTCAGATAGAGCAGGAGGGAGAGAGAGAGAGAGAAACATCGATGTGAAAGGGACACATCGAGTGGCTGCCACCCGCACGACCAACCAGGGCCGGGGACAAACTGCAACCGAGGTACATGCCCTTAGTGGGAACAGAACCCGGGTCTCTCCAGACCGCAGGCCGACGCTCTAACCGCTGAGCCAAACCGGCCAGGGCGAGAGTAAATCTTTCTAAAAAATAACAGACATAGAGGTTTAGAGGGGAAAATTTTATGTGTAGCATGAAAACCCTGATATTTAAATATATTTAATAATATCTGTCACTTTGTATTTTCTGCCAGACACTCATTTAACCTTCACAACAAACATGTAAAGTAGGTGTTGTTCTACATGGGAAATCCAGACTCAAAAGGGTGAAGTGACTTGTCCAGTGTCACTAGTAGATGGCGAAGCAAGAAACTGAATCCAAGATAATTGAATTCTAAAGACCATGTTCTGTTGAGCACACTAGACACAGGAAGACTCTCTGGATAGTTCTTAAGTGAGAGGAGCAAAGATGTGGATTTGGCTTTTGGGGATTGGAATGTGAACATAACACTATAAACAGACCTTGAATCTAAGGGGACCTTGTAAAATCTCACAACAAAACTTGTATTTAGTATTTGTGTCACTATTGCCAACAGTGCCTAATGGTCTTTTATTTGTTCTAGGCGACTGGCCTCCACTTTCGACACACTGATAATGTGATTCAGTGGTTGAATGCCATGGACGAGATTGGCTTGCCTAAGGTAATTCACATGATAGTCATAGTTCTGGCTTAGGTCTGTTTTGACATGAGTTCTCATTCTACCTATGAAAGTATTCTTTATTTTCAATTGAATCCTTGGTGATTTTTTTAAAAAAGCACTTAAGATCTCTTTCTTCTATTTCTCAGAAAATAGTTTTGTTCTTTTTCTTTTATATTTCTCATCCCTGCTTCACCTCACCCTAGAGAAATTCTGTGATATCATTCACTTTTACTATATCAAATTGTAGAGTTACATTAAAATTCACACCCATGAGCCCTGACCATTGTGGCTCTGTTGATTGAGCATTGTCCCATGTACCAAAAGATCACCAGTTTGATTCCTGGTCAGGGCACATGCCAGGTTTTGGGCTCAATCCCCAGCAGGAGGCATGTAGGAGGCAGTCAAAGGATGTTCCTTTCTCCCTCTCCCTTTCTCTCTCAAATCAATAAAAACATATTTAAAAAAATTTACAACCATGAAACTCACTATTTTAAAGTATACAATTCAGCCTGGCCGGTGTGGTTCAGTGAGGTCCTGGTTCAATTCCTGGTCAGGGCACATGCCCGGGTTATGAGCTCGATCCCCAGTAGGGGGCGTGCAGGAGGCAGCTGATCGGTGTTTCTCACATCAATGTTTCTATCTCTCTCTCTAAAAAATCAATAAATACACACACACACACACACACACACACACACACATTACAATTCAGTGGTTTTTAAATTATTCACAGTGTTATTACATCAAAATTTGACTTTAGGAAATATTTTAGAAGTCTCATCTTCCAGCTTCAGATTAACCAAATTTTTAGGGTATATGAAGGGTCATTTTATATTTCAATGGCGGCAATATAATGACATTTACTCTTAGATATTTAGTTTTGGTGATGGCTGTAGTTTTTTTTTTTAAACAGCTTTATTGAGGTGTAATTGATATACAAACGACTATACATATTTAATGTATACAGTTCGATGACTTTGGAACGATGGCTGCAGTGTTTATAATGGAAGTGTACATCCTTGAGTGTTTTGCTCAGGAGTTTATTTAGTGCTGCTGTTAGTGAAATTGCCATCTCACGCTACCCAGTCCTACCTGAACCCATAAAGGCTATGATGTATTATCACTCTATTTTTTTAAATATTTTTTTAAATTGATTTTTGAGAGAGAGAGGAAAAGAGAGAGAGAAACACTGATGTGAGAACATCAATTGGCTGCCTCCTGCATGCCCCCTGCTGGGAATTGAGCCTGCAACCTGGGCATGTGTCCTGACCAAGAATCGAACCCAGACTTCTCAGTCCATGGGATGACGCTCATTCCACTGAGCCACACCTCCCAGGCTGTATTATCGTTCTTATGGGCATGAACATCTTTTCCCACCACCCTATCCCATATCTTTGACCTAATAATTCCACTTTTAGGAATTTATCCCTCCACCAAAGTCAGACAAGTACAAAAAGATGTATATGTAAGGATTTTTCAGCTTTCCTTGTGGTAGAAATAATTGATAGCAAACCACATGTCTCTTCACTACAGGTATTAATTGTGTTGCAGCCATTCAGATACTAGTGCAGCCATTAAGAAGGATGACATCACTCTGTATTGACAAAGGAAGTTGTCTGGGATGTGCTAAGTGGGAAAAAAAGCTTAATAGGCTAAGGTTATGAGTTTGTGTTCTGGCTAAGATGAGATCACTCATCACTCATATATATATATATTTGGTTAATCCTCACCAGAGGATATTTTTCCATTGATTTTTTTAGATAGAGTGGAAGGGAGGGAGGGAGAGAGAGAAATATCGATGTGAGAGAGACACATCTATTGGCTGTCTCCTGCATGACCCTGACTGTGGCCAGGGATTGAACCTGCAACACAGGTACATGCCCTTGACTGGGAATTGAACCCAAGACCCTTTGGTCCATGGGCTGATGCTCTAACTGCTGAGCCAAACTGGCCAGGGTGTAAAAATAAATGAGTGTTTTTGGGGAAAATCTGTTAGGAGACACAGTTTTCATTTCTGTGTGATGGAACTAGAGAGTGTATTTTCTTTATACTTTCCTATAGATTCTAAATTTTTTTAACCAAAAATAAGATTAAGAAAAAAAAAGTGACGTTAGGAAGTGGATACAACCACTTGTAAATGAATATTTGGTGTTTAGCACAGTGTTGAGTTCATGTATCTGTTGAACTGAGTTAAATCCAGAGCTGAGTCTTTGCAGAAGACAAACTTTTGTCCTCTTTCTTTCAGAGCAGAGTGCTGAAGTTTTCTTCCTTGCACTGGTATGTTTGAGAATTAGGCCCCACAAATGCCAGGAAATGCAATACGTCAAGATCTGATGGCTACTTGGCCTTTCTGTGCACCTGTAACTTCCTGTTCCTGTTTTTTACATGATATGCCCATTGGGCAATGATGATTTAACCTCTTTTGAATGGTACTAAGAGCTTTGTTAATATTTTCTATTGCTAGTAGTAGTATTGTTATTATAAAATGCTTTTTTTAATGATCGACTTTTATTACCATTTTTGATTACTAACAGTAGTGCATTTTCTGGACCATAGTTGCAACAAACAGAATTCCCAAAGGCTTTCAGGGACAACAGGATTTTCATGGATGTCAGTTTTGAAATGTCCACCCTATGTGATTTAGGTCCAGAAGACTTGAGTAATGTAAACTAAAGACATTTAGCCTAAAAATATATTGTTGGCCATAATATAATGTATGATATATAATCAACAATACATACATAATATTTATTTGGATATCTTCCCTAATTACTTTATATGGTATGTTCAGGTTAATTATAGAAACTTACTGTGATAGTTTTTTAGTTTTTAACCTTTTGGACTATTTATTATATTTGGCACTATTGGCCACCTCCTCCATGAAATATTTTGAGTTTGATTTTTTAAATTGGTTTTAATCTGCCCAACTACTCCTCTGTTCTCTTCAGCTATTGTCTTCCATATCTTAGCGGTGAGCATTCCTTAAGATGCAGCCCTTATTTTAGCTACATTCTCTCATTTTCACAGCTTCAGTTATTTTGAAGATTCTTTGCTGTAAGATAAACACAGTATCTTCAATTGGACATTCTCCTTGGATAGCTTTCTAGCACCTAAAATTTCTCATATCTCAAACTAAACCTACCTTTTTCATCATATGAACTTCCTCTCCTCTATAATAAATGGAACCTTGTTATCTTTTTCCCAGTTATCCAGTCTGAAAACCTTGGAGTTACCTTGGCCTTCCCCAAGCCTTCCTCATTTATTTGAAGTGCCTTTTTTATCTGTTGAAACAGCCTGCCAGACTGCCTTCTTAGCTTCCATCTCCCCACTATTCAATATATCCTATGTCTTGTCTCAAGTCATATCTTCCTGAGACTCTGAGGTTCTGTTTTTAATTCTTGAGCTCTAAAGTTAGGTTCTCTGTGGCCTGCATATCACGTTCAAACTTATCGGGCTTTCAAGGTCCTCAAAACCTTATGTTTAGAAACATTTTCTGTTTCTAAAATGTATTCTGTACTGTTTTGGGGAAGGTTGGTGCACTGTGACTGTGATTTTCACCTTTCAGGAGAGGACATCTCAATCTTGGGAAGCGAGCATGTAGAGTTGGAAAAATTATCAAAAAAATACGATTTTGATACATCCCATTTCTCAAGGGGTGGGGGCAGTTCTTTCTCGTGGAGAGCCTTGATTATTGTAGGGAGAACATAAAAACAAAGAATTGAACATGATGTGTTAATGCTGTAATAGATACCAAGTTCTGTAGTGTCTCCTACTGCCATGTCAGAATTCTTCTAATCACCTCATAATTCAATCTTTCACTTCTTCAATCCACTGTTATTCCTTTCCCCACCTAAAATACAGATTGAATTGTAATAGTGCCTCATTACATTGAGAATAGGTTTCGAAATTCAAGGCTAATCACAGTCTAAAGCTACTCTGTTCCTATTTGACCTCGTTCATAAATCCATCAAATATAGAGCTCCTTCCATGACCTTGGCTCTGGGCTTGGCAATGAAGATATAGCAGTGAACAACCCAGACCTAGTCCCTGCCTTCATGTGGCTTGTTGTCTGTTGGAGGAGTCAAACAGATGATAACACAAGTAGTTGATGAATTGTGCTAAGTGCTACCAAGGAAAACTTCCCTTCTGCCACAGTCCCATACATACACATCCTGTATTCTAGCTGCTTCATCTGTGTGTCTGTCCACTTCCCCCAAGCAGTATAACACATTTTAATATTTTGTAGATTTTTCAGTGTCTAAATGTAGTGGTTTTCACAGACTGAAGCACTTATTAGTAAATGTTCATTGTTGAATTACTGCTCCGTCTAGGCATGGTAGATAGTCACCAGGAAGACTCAGTCCTTCAAAGCCAATGCTTTAAACTGGACTGGAACTTGGGTTTGATTTCATCTACCCAGGGAAATTCAGCGGGCTGACCAAATAAGGCTTTTTCAAGTAGTATTTTTCATTCTGTATTGTACCATTTTATTCCTTGCATTACTTATGATTAAATGTGTTTTCACCCTAATGAAGTTATTTGCTGAGTGCCAACAATGTTTTCTAATTGTCCAGGGTTTTATTAGTATTATTGATGATTGGTGAATGATCAAAGGAGACCCAGTAAATGGATACCTTACTCTACTTCTTTTATTTCTCTTTAGATTTTTTACCCAGAAACTACAGATATCTATGACCGAAAGAACATGCCGAGATGTATCTATTGTATCCATGCACTCAGGTAATCAGATTTTCTTGGTAAAATAAGCAGTGCATATAGATGCAGAGAACAGATTGGTGGTTACCAGAGGCAGGGGTTGAGGGGTGGGTGAAATGGGTAAAGTAGTCAAAAGGTACAAACTTACAGTTATAAAATAAATAAGGCTGGTGTAGTGACTATACTTATTACTGTTTGTATATTTGAAAGTTGCTAAGAAAATAGATCTTAAAAGTTCTCATCACAAGGTAAAAAATTTATAACTATTTTTGATGATAGATGTTAGCTGTCATTTCAGTATTATATATATGAAATCATTATGTTATACAGCTGAAACTAATAGTGTTGTATATCAATTATATCTCAATTTAAAAAAACAGTTTAGGAATAACATCTGAATTGACTGTAGCTTTTTGTCCATGGTATAATGAAAAAGATTTTGCATCAGTTTCAGAATTTTCAAATAGAATAGGATACTATTATCTTAACAAAATGATGAGAAACAGCTGTGTTTTTCTAGGGGCTAGGAAGAAAGGGTTTATTTATTCCCATAATAGAAAATAATTCTACTGTGAAAACATGTTATAATCTTTCATTATTGATCTAGTGTTTCTGTGAACTGTGCATTTTACTTGGGATGTAGTTTCTTTCTTTTTCATTAAAATCTCTTAGAAATTATAAAAAGTATATACATTTGAAAACTTACTGTTTCCCATTTTGTTTCAAGCTGATAAGCTGAATTGTAAAATAGACTATGTCTTGATACTCTTTAGCAGTACAATGATATTTTGTCAACATCTTCAAATAATACCAGAAGATATCAAATGGTTGATTTATAATTTATTTAGTTATTTAGGTCCTTACCAAGCCATTTGTTCATTAAATAATTTTTATGCCAACACAAACCAATAGGAACTGAAACAAAGAAGGTTTTTTTTTTTTTCTTCACAATTTTATAGTAAATTTGGAAGATGACTTTATTTTAGGTTCCTGACTTAGAATCAACAAAGTACAAAATTGGAAGGGAGAGGTGATATGGAGGGGGTTTAGAATGGAATGGGAATGGGTGCTAATTAGTATTTCAGAGTGGTAAAGGAGAAGGGGGTTGGACAGTAGTGTGAGGTTTCTTGTTTGAACTGCCCATCTTATTATAGCATCCTGTGTGTATATTTAATATTAATTATATTATATGAGTGTGTGTATAATATTGACCCACAAGAAGCCTACTGTCTTCAGTGTGATCAAATATGTCCCAGATCCTTGGTATCACTGGAACCAATGTGAAACCCACAAAATAAATAATACAACTCAGGACTAGAGACTCTCTTCTGTGGACTGAAGCATTAACTTCCCTTCTAGAAGTTTTCCTCTGTAGGCCCTTCCTGTAGGCTCTTCCTTCTGGTCTGTCTGCCATGCTCTCACCAGAGCTTTCTTTCCAAAACAGCCCTGCTCATATCAGACCCCCATAAGGTATTTTGATGGCTCCCTCCCAGTCTCCCCCGTAGCCATTCCCTCCTGTGTAGCCCTGCTCTAGTAATCATGCCACACATGCCATGTAGTTGCTTTTGGCCTTTGGCCATGCTGTTTCCTTTGCCTGAATGCCCTTTCTCCCACGGGCCACCTCAGATACATTTTTTAAACTTTTTATCTTTCAGGCAGAATTAGCTACTTCCAGTCATTGTACTCCTCTAGGGTTACTTTGTAGAAACCTCTTACTTCAAGTATAGTGCTTGTTACATTGTACTCTGATTATTTGTTCTTGTATATAACTTGCTTTTTGTGGACTCCTTGGGAACAAGAACTGTTTCCTTTTTTTGTTATCTTTGTGTCTCTAGCACTTAGATACCTAGCTTATAGTAGGTAAACAATAAATGTGTCCAAATTATACATTATAACAAATATTCCTGCTTCTCCTCTATCTCAAGGGGATATTTTCTGCCCTATAAATAAATGTAGAAGGGAAATGGTACTTTCCTTTATCAGACGACTTTATGTTTGTCTTGGCTTAGCCAGTCAAGTCTTAGCTCCATTTCCACTGTTTTGGTGAAGTTTTGTGATCTCCAATGACTCTGGCTCGTACCTTTGTCTAAACTCTTGTGGTTTGTTTCCTGTTTGTTTTATTAGTTTTGTTTTTTTAATTATATATTGTTTCTTCCATATGTTTAATCTTTTCTGCCTGTTACATTATTAGCACTTTAGGGACACATGTCATGTCTTACATTTTTTCGCTTCCAGAGCACATAGCACAATGTTGGACAAACAATAGTAACATGAGCATTCTTTACAAATGTTTAGGAATATGTGATATCTAGGGGAATTTTCAGATTGTAGCAATTTGAAATGTATGTGTCTGAGCCAAAATCAGATGAATTCTGATCAAATTTGTGTTACGAGAGGCCTGTCTGTGTCAATAACCTTGTGGGGGCTGTACCTACAATGGGTATCTGAACTTGGCAGGTGCAGAGGCCAAGCTGGCAGAATTCCTCTTGTGAGTTCTGTAGCCACTAGTCCCTGCAGTGTAGTCTGGGTCCCAGGTCTTCAAATTCTCTGAAATGGAGATGAAGAGTTAACTGTGCCTTTCTAATGACGGAGTCAGAATGAGAAAGGGAGGAAGTCTGCTATTGTTTTCCATTTCTCTTCAATATGCAGTTCGTGTTTAGCAAGTATATACACAGCAGTGTGTTCTGCTTGGTGAATTCTGATTTCTTTCCTGCCTTAATAGTGTTTTTCCTGAAGGGTGGGTTGGCAACATTTGATAATATGTAGGAAATGTGTATACCTGCTTTACCATAAAACAACTTTGTTCAAGGTAGGTTCCTCAGTTCACTCGACTGGACAAGGCACCGGCTGGCTCACTTTTGTATCAATAGTAACAGAGAAGCATCGTCTCCCTGTTTTCTCCCTTTCTGCCTCCCCTTTAAGTCTTGACTGGCATTATTCCAGTGATAGTCACTGTACTTTAGTCATGCTAAACAAATTACTCTTGTAGATTATATTCTACTCTCAGATAAGACCCCAGTTTTCTGTTATTCCAAGTTCATGTGTATACTTTATTTCAGTGTCCCCTGATGTATTACCTTTCTTTTCTTTTTTTTTTTTTTATCCTCACCCGAGGATATTTTTCCATTTTTTGCACAGATAGAGTGGGAGGGAGAGAGAGGAAGGGAGAGAGAGAGAGAGAAACATCGATGTGAAGGGACACATCGAGTGGCCGCCACCCGCACGACCGACCAGGGCCGGGGACAAACTGCAACCGAAGTACGCGCCCTTAGCGGGAACCGAACCCGGGTCTCTCTGGACCGCAGGCCGACGCTCTAACCGCTGAGCCAAACTGGCCAGGGCTACCTTTCTTTTCTTTAAAAAAACTTTTTTTCCCTTTATTGATTTTAGAGAGAGAGGAAGGGAGAGGGAGAGAGAGATAGAAACATTGATGAGAGAGAACATTGATTGGCTGCCTCTTGCATGCTCCCCACTGGTGATCGGGCCCACAACCTGAGCATGTGACCTGACTGGGAATTGTACTGGCGACCTTTTGGTCCATGGGTCTCAGCTCAACCACTGAGCCACTCCAGCTGGGTTGTATTATCTTTCTAAGAACTGATTTTGGGATTAAATAGACCCACAAATCTTTATCCTAAATTCATAAGAAATCTAAAAGCGATGAAAATTAAGTTTAAGTCTAGTTCAAACTCATTTGTTGGCAAAATCTGATCAGAATTAATTGAGGTTATTTAGAATAGTATTTTTATCTATTTGGTACGATTATATGTATCTTTCTCTGAGAAAAGTAATGTATTTGTTTATGGGAGCTGCCTCAAGGCTTACTGGGGGTGTTTTATAATACTGTATACACTGTGAAACCTAACATCTGAGAAATCCTAAACTCATATCTGGCCCAAAGATTTTAGATATGGGATTATTGGCCTGTGCTGGATTCAGTTTCCTAATCAGCTGCTATGTTTGTGTTTCAGAGCCTTTATTAATAATCTTTGAGATTAGCATAGTGACTTATAGGTTACTCTGCCACCAGCAAAGATAATTGGAATACAGATAGACTCACACAGCTTCTTTCTCCCCATTGCTGTAAAGTATCACTTAAATATGAAAAAAGAAAAGGAAAAGAAATCTGAGCTCCATTGTGGGCTGACCAGCATGGGTACCTAATAGCTTATTTGTAATAGTAGGCACAGGAGAACAGGGACAAAGACTAGAAAGTGATGTTGACCTTTAGGATATTTTGTTGCTGTTTGTTTTTGTTAATCCTCATCCGAGTATATTTTTAAATTGATTTTTAGAGAGAGTGGAAGGGAGGGAGAGGGGGAGGGGGAAGAGAGAGAGAAAGAAACATTGATGTAAGAGAGAGACATCGATTGATTGATTGCCTCTGGCCAGGGTTAAGAATCAAACCTGCAACCCAGGTATGTGCCCTTGACCAGGAATCGGACCCATGACCTTTCGGTGCGCAGGCTGACACTCTAACTACTGAGCAACACTGGCCAGGGCAACTGTTAGGATTTTTAAGTTCCAGCTTTGAGGTTAAGTATTTTTGATTTGGGGCAAGAGGATCTAAGTGGCCATTGTGATTACATTCATAGCTTCAGCATCTCCTTAACATATTCCTAATATTTAAAATGAGATAAAGGAAAGATGGTGCCCGGGTCTTACCTTCTCTTCTTGTTGCAACAGCTAGTGAAGTTGTAACACCTTTGATTTACCACTGAAAGATGTTAAAAGCTAACTCACTCTTCCTAAGGCTGTGAAAGTGATATTCACTCTCCTGTTTTAAAGTAGGAATAAAACAGGAAGAAATTCCTGGAGAAAAATAATTTAGAATTTAGATGGAATTTAGAATTTAGGGATCATTTTACATGTACAGGAATTTAGTAGCTTTTCTGTTTTGGAAAATTTATTGAATAGGTTTAAAATCTTCTGAGAGAGAATCCCTTATATAGTTCCATCTAGAGCATTTTACTCTAAAGAAAAGCACTTAATCATAACATGATTTACACTTGTACTTATCTAAGAAAATTATTAGCTACTGTGCATGTATAAATTCGAATGTGTGTTTAGAACATTTGTTTTTTTTAGATCATACATTTTTTATACAATTTAAGTTCTGATCATTTCTATGAATGTAATATGTGCCATACATATTTGGGTTTTGATAATACTGAAGTTTATAGATTATTTGCAAAAACTGTAGACTTTGCCCTGGCCAGTTTGGCTCAGTGGTTTGAGCATCGGCCCACAGACCAGAGTTGAGGGTTCGATTCTGGTCAAGGGCATGTGCCTCGTTTGCGGTTTGGTCCCTGGCCCTGGTCGGTATCATGCGGGAGGCAACCAATCTACGTTGTCTCTCTCACATCAATGCTATTTTTTCTCTCCCTCCCTCCTCCTACTCTATCTGAAGATAAATGGGAAAAAAATATCCTCAGGTGAGGATTAAAAAGCAAACAAACAAAAAATGTAGACCACTTGCTGAGTTAGTTTGTTAGATGCTTTTTATATCTTCCCTTATCACTGGGCCGTCAATGTCTTGCTTATGCCCATCCATATAAAGTGCCCTTCCAATGTCTTCTAAATTATTGATTTTCATCTGCCAGGGTCTTAGAATCCAATTAACTTAACTCAGGCTTATAGACATATATTTATTCATCCATCCATCCATCCATCTTTGAGGTATTGATTAATATTTATTAATATATGCTAGGCTCTAAGTAGACATTGGTGAACAGGACTTTTATTTATTGTCCCTGCCTTCATGAAGCTTAGAGTCTAGTAGTAGATTTTAATTTAAAGAGGAAAGTATATAATATATACTCTATTTAAAACTTAAATTACCTGAAACTTTTCCGTCAGTAAAATGAATTCAGTTTAAATAAGATTTTCTGTCTGAATCATTTTCATGAGACTTTTCTAAAATGTCTTGTTACTTCAAACATTGATCACAGAAAGGTAAACAAAAATGAAGATTCTTCACTTATATTAATTATATTAACATTTTTATTAGCATTGAATCACACACTGGATTTCTACTGGAACTTGGATTTGAACTTGTATCTACTGATTCCCAAACCAGTGCTTTTTGCATTACATTATGTGATTTTTTTAGGACAATGTTATTATGTCAAACTAAAAAAAGGCGCTGAGGTAAAGTATTGTAACTGCAAAGAGGAATATTGTAGTGTACTGGGAGTCTCTGTGTTCAGAATGTTTCTATTGTTTATGCTTATTTTCCCCTTTGAGCGCAGCAGAAGTTAGGTATGGCTGGGAGGTGTAAATCTTTGCATATTTGTGTTTTCTAGTTTATACCTGTTCAAACTAGGCCTGGCTCCTCAGATTCAAGACCTGTATGGAAAGGTTGACTTCACTGGTAAGAAATTACAAACCCGGCAAGGAATGCTAGATTTATGTGGAAATAGCCTAGAGAGTCAACAAAACCAATCTTAATGTTGTAGGACTTTAAAAATACTCTGGCAATAGAGATGAAAGAAATATAAATAACTTGCTTCTCTGGTGTGGTAGAAAGAACACTAAACTTGGCATTTCAGGCTCTATTCTCTCAGTTATGACATGGGTATGATTAGTGAGTCTCAGTTTTCTTATATCAAAATTAGGAATAATATTAATATTAATGCAATGTATATAACTAAATACATGATATTAAAATGTAACACTGCATGTTCATGTACTATTAAAAAACCACCATGATAGCCCTGGCCAGTTTGGCTCAGCGGTTAGAGCATCGGCCAGCGGTCCAGAGAGACCCGGATTCGGTTCCCGCTAAGGGCATGTACCTCGGTTGCAGTTTGTCCCCGGCCCTGGTTGGGTCGTGTGGGTGGCAGCCACTCGATGTGTCCCTTCCATGTCGATGTTTCTCTCTCTCTCTCTCTTCCTCTCTCTCCCTCCCACTCTATCTAAACAAAAAATGGAAAAATGTCCTCGAGTAAGGATAAAAAAAAATAAACCACTATGATAGTCTTTCTCTCTCCCTTCCAAATTACCTACCCTTGCAAAGCAAGGGTTGGGGGGATGGAGTGAGATGAGGTGAAGGTGACAATTTTTAAATTTTAGCTTATTTATATATTTTTAAAATTTTGTTTATTTAGCTTATTATATTTGCTGTAGGCAGGTGATTGAAGAAATGGGGGCTTAGGGAGAAAAAGAACAGTGGCAATATTGGTAAGGGTAGGATAGGTTCAAATCTTTCAAACTGGTGAAATTTTATAGACCTGGGAATTTAAAAAATGGTGGTAAAACTTTTATCTGTGATAGTTTTCTTTCCAGAGAAGTTGTTCACCAGACCTGGTACAGGGGCCTGACCTGACATGTTTTATTTTATTTTTAAATATGTTTATATTGATTTTTTAGAGAGAAAGGAAGTGAGAGAGAGATACAAACATTGATGAGAGAGAAACATCAATTGGCTGCCTCCTGTATGTCCCTTACTGAGCATCGAGCCCAAAACCTGGGCATGTGTCCTGACTAGGAATTAAACCAGTGACGTCTTGGTGCAGGGGCAGTGCTCAATCCACTGAGCCACACTGGCTGGGCCTGACATGTTTTCTTTATCATTTGGCTTCCTGCTTTAGAAATTAAATTGTTAATAGTAGCTAGTGATTTGTATTGTAATGATTTGAGATAGGCAACTGGTGGAGCTTCCTTTGCTGCTGCTCCATTCATGGGTTCATTGTGGGAAATGCCATAAGTAGCAGTTTGGGAAAACTATTTCTACATGGACACTCTCATGCTATAGTTATTTTTGATGTTCTTGATAATAGTAATAATAGTTAACGCCTACTGAGCATATGTTATGTACCAGGTACTGTGTTAAGGGCTTTCTGTATACTGTTTCATTAATCCTTTTAACAACCCCAAGGGGTAGATGCCATTTTATCCCATTTTTGTAGCTGAGGAATCTGTTGCCTCCTCTGAGTTTTGGAATGGTGTTTAACTTGGTCTCACTTCTCTCCTGTAGAAGAAGAAATCAACAACATGAAAATCGAGCTAGAGAAGTACGGGATCCAGATGCCTGCCTTCAGCAAGATCGGGGGCATCCTGGCCAATGAGCTCTCGGTGGATGAAGCTGCACGTAAGAGAGAAATTGTGTGGTTCAAATGGGATTGTTGCTTCCACTTTCAGTGATTAAAGCTATAATGATGATCTTGGACATTAGGAATTATGCTAGCAAGTGTAGGTTTTTTAATTTTTATTTTACATTGGTGTTTGTATTTATTTATTTATAGATAGAGTGGAAGGGAAGGGACAGGGAGGGAGAGAGAGAGAGAGAAACATCTATATGAGAGAGATGCATCACTTGGTTGCCTCCCCCACAACCCCAGCCATGGCCGGGGACTGAACCTGCAACTCAGGCACATGCTCTTGACTAGGAATCAAACCCAGGACCCTTCAGTCTGCAGGCTGACACTTTAACTGCTGAGCCAAACCGGCCAGGGCAATAGATTTAGTTTTAAACATTGCTATCATCTTTTATGCTCTTGTTATTTGGAAAGAAGTGATTGATTTTGATAATACGAACACTTACTTAGACAGTGAGGTCTATATTTCATTGCCTCTTTGAGTTGCTTATTTTATAGTGGTATTTACATGATGATTAAGGGTGAGCATTTCTATAACAAATGCTCCTTGCAAGGCTCTCTTGTTAATATTTCCCTGTGTTTCCAAATTTAGCATCCCAAATGTGGGTCAGAGCTGTGGCTTTGTGCATCCTAAGGAAGGGACTTACAGGACCCAGGGAGCCACTCCTCCAGTCCTAATCATTATTTCACTATGAAAATAAGGCCCTCTGTAATAGGGTGTTGCAGTGTGGTTTTGTATGTGTAACTTGTATCCTGTACTCTGTATAACTCAGTGTTCTATGTTTTGAATTTATTTTTAGTACATGCTGCTGTTATCGCTATTAACGAAGCTATAGACCGTAGAATTCCAGCTGACACATTTGCAGCTTTGAAAAACCCCAATGCCATGCTTGTCAATCTTGAAGAGCCCTTGGCTTCCACTTACCAGGATATACTCTACCAGGCCAAGCAGGACAAAATGACAAATGCTAAAAACAGGGTAAAAATGGAACATCTCTTCTTTCTAATTGATCTATGTTCTTTTCTCTTTTCATTTGACGTCCCATTTTAAAAATCAGTTTTATTGAGGAATAATGTACGTACAGTAAAATTCACCCATTTTAAGTGTCTGGTTTGATGAGTGTTGACAAATGTATGTGGTTAAGTAACCATCACCCAAAAAGTTTCCAGGCCCCCATTGGCAGTCAATTTGTCCCCAACTCCTTACCCCTGACCCCAGTCAACTACCAGTCTTCTTTTATCACTGTAGTGTTCTTTTTCGAGAAATTCATATAAATGAAATGGAATTATACAGGATGTAGTCTTTTGGTCTTAGATTCCACTTTGACTTCTACTTTCTTCTTGAATGTTGTGCAAACCAGTGAGAGGCTGTGCGAGCTGCTCCCTGGATGTGCCCGTCCTGCTCAGTCTGAGGCAGGGCGAGTGCTCACGAGTGAGCAGGACAGGTTCACCAGTGCTTCCTTCTCTTGCCCAGCTCTGGGAGAACCCTGAGCTTGTCCTTAACAAGCGCACCTGCTTTTTTGGTTTGTTAAAATATGTTTTTATTGATTTTTTTAGCAAGAGAGGAAGGGAGAAAGAGATAGAAACATAGATGTGAGAGAGAAACATTGATCGGCTGCCTCCTGCATGCCCCCTACTCAGGATCACGCCTGCAACCCTAGCATGTGCTCTGACCAGGAATCCAACTGGGTCCTCTCAGTCCATGGGATGATGCTCAAGCCACTGAGCCACACCAGCTGGGCTATGTTTTGTTTTTTTAATCCTCACCTACAGATATTTCTCCACTGATTTTTTAAAATTTTTTTATCCTCACCCAAGGACATTTTTTCTATTTTTTGTTCAGATAGTGTGGGAGGGAGGGAGGGAGGGAGGGAGGGAGGGAGAGAGAGAGAGAGAGAGAGAGAGAGAGAGAGAGAGAGAGAGAGAGACATCGACGTGAAAGGGACACGTCGAGTGGCTGCCACCCACATGACCCAACCAGGGCCGGGGACAAACTGCAACCGAGGTACGTGCCCTTAGTGGGAACCGAACCCGGGTCTCTCAGGACCGCAGGCCGATGCTCTAACCGCTGAGCCAAACCGGCCAGGGCTCTCCACTGATTTTTAGAGAGAGTAGAAGAAAGGGAGGGAGAGAGAGAGAGAGCGAGAAACATGGATGTAAGACAGACACATTGATTGGTTGTCTCCTGGAGGACCCCGACAGGGGCTGGGAATCGAACCTGCAGCCCTTCGGTTCACCAGGCAGATGCTCTAACTGCTAAGCCAAATTGGCCAGGGCTGCTTTTTATGTTTTAGTTATAGCTGTGTAGCATTCCATTTTGTTCTTTACTAATAACTTTAAGCCACACCCTTACCTGCTCTTGGTTCTGTTATGGTAGGGGAGGAGCTCAAGTATATTTCTGTGGTCATAGAGACCTGAGCTAATCTAATACTTTTTACTCATCTTCAGACAGAAAACTCTGAGAGAGAGAGGGACGTTTATGAGGAGCTGCTCACTCAAGCTGAAATTCAAGGCAATATAAACAAAGTCAACAGTAAGTATGTGCCTGAGCCAGGCACCTAAGGGGATGACAGAATAATGTGAGTGTTGATCTGTTCTTGGACTGATAACATAGTTTATTTATTGTAGACATTAGAGAATTTGTTTGGGGACTATTGCTTGTGGCTGTTTTGTATTCATGTCTTCTGTTAGCTGCTGCTGTCTTCAGGCAGGCCCACACTCCACTGCGGTAGCTTCTGGATTGATCCTTTTGGCTTGTTTCACTCTTTCATCCTATGATACACACTTATTAAAAAATCTGAATAGGAATTTTATATTTTCTGTTTTTAAAATAATATAACAGCTTTGTTTTTCTCTTAAAGACTAGTACAAATTATCCAGAGGTAAACAATAAGCAAAAAATCAGACCCCTATCACCTAGAAATAACCACTATTGATTTTTTATGCATATCCCTTTCAAAGCATATATTTAAACAAAAATGAGATTGTACTACTCATATTGATTTTTGTATATATGTATAACACACTTTTGAGAAATTAATTTCTTGGAAGTATCATTTTCATTCTGTCCCTGTTCTGCTAAAGAGCCTACATTGGTTTTTTATGACTTGCCAGACCAAATGCAGAACCCTAGCCCAGTGGAGTCCTTTATGCGGTATTTTATGCATACAACTCTATTGAAGCTCATTTACCTAATCATCGCCTATATTCATTCTGTTCATTTCATGACTCAAATGAGTCTGGCTCTGGCCTGGCCAGTGTGGCTCAGTGGATTGAGCATCGTCTCATGGACTGAGAGGTCCCAGTTCAATTCCTGGTCAGGGCACATGCCCGGGTTTCGGGCTCGATCCCCAGTAGAGTGCATGCAGGAGGCAGCCAATAGATGTTTCTCTCTCACGTCGATGTTTCTATCTCTCCCTTCCTCTCTCTCTAAAAAATCAACAAAAGTATTAAAAAAAAGAGTCTGGCTGTGGAGTGGGACAGACCTGAGATTTGGTCTCTTTCCCTGTTGTTAATAGCTGTGGGACCTCGGACACCCGTGGCATAGAATTATTATGCATATGATGAGATAATGTATGTAAGTTGCGTAGTTTTTAGTAAATACTTAATAAATATTAGTATTATTATTGTGTCTTTAAAAAAGCACATAATCTCCCTGCTTAATGTCCAATTACCTCATCTCTTTTCTAATCTAAATTGTACCCATCATTAAAGATCCAGCTCAATTAGGACTCAGTGGCTATCCAGCTCACAATATATTTGCCTTTTAAATCTCCCACACCACTGATAGACTAAACCACACAGTTTTATACTTAATTATATATTGTCTTACATTGCTTGCTCTTTATTTCTGACATTTTTATAAACTCAAATGAGAGATTACTTCTGAGTTCTGCTTCTTTTGAAACTCTCATAATTTTTAGTGTAGGATTAGACTCATATACAAAAAAAGCTTATTTGATTTCATTCTTGGTCTTGTTTTGCTCAAGATAGTAATAATAGCACAGTAATAGTAATCACTGTCTTCTCTGTTCATTTTGAGGTCCTAATTTCTCATTTGAATTGACATTCAGAGTAACTGGAGAGAACGTATAAAATTTTACTTACTCTACATAATAAGGAATTCTAACTCCTACCAGGAGCCTATGTTCCAGTCGGCTTCACTTAGGAAAATGGCTTTCTGCACAGAGTAATAGTTTCATTCAGGAATGGGTGATCTGTGGTGCTGTGTCTGTGTGAATACTCAAGTCAGCAGTATAAGCCGGAGTGTCTTTTTATACGTAGTTGTCTGTGTGAGAAGAGAGTCCAATACATTTTCTGCTAATGTAGTGCATAAAATACTTTTATGCAGGGATTTTTCCTAGTATGTTGTTTGGGATTTTATAACCCTTATAGCTTTACCTGGCTAATTATATGAGAGTCCATTATAAACATGTGAGGAAACCATATGTTTATGTTTTAAAAGTGTTCCAATCATATTCTTCTTGTGTTGGTCAGAGGAACAAAATAATAACATTTCCTCGAATAGATTTCAGTGCAGTGAGGAATTTCAGGACAACTTGGTTAGAACAAGGTATCAAAGGTGTATGAGGTGCAGTCTTAGAATAAAGAAAGGAGTGCTGACTTCTCCTGGGAGATTTGTATTAACCGTCACCGCATTCTTCTGATGGATAAGAAGGCAAGGATGAGGCAGAGAATACCCCATAGAGGGGCATTCTTTTCCTAATTATAAAGAAATTCTCAGGCCAGGGGAAGTTGTGTGCTAAAAAAGATAGATGTTAGGTTCCAGGAATTATCTTAACATAATTATAGATAAGATCCTTTCTCTGGGGCTGAGAACCAGCAATGAAGCTGTTAATCCTGCCCCAGAAGAAAGCTGCAGCGAAATAGTTAAAAATAAGAAACAGATTTTATGTTTTGTTAAGTAGAATAAGGAAAATTTGAGTTAGATAATTAAAGTTTAGTGGGAGAAATTGTTTAAAAAGTTTGTTTCTAGTAAAAGTATAACTGACTAGATGCTTTTGTAGATAGATACCCCAAGGTTCTGCATTGCATACCTAGTTGTTACCTATGTTGATTTTGTTTATTTTTTGTCCCTCACTACTACAAAACCTCCATGAGGATGGAGATATTGGTCTGTTTTGTCCAAAGCTACATTTTCAGCATATAGTAGGTGCTCAGCAAGAGTTAAAGGAATGGATGGCTAGTTGGCTAACTGCCACATAGACCTGCAGCCATGACTCAAGGAGCTGCCACCGTGGTGCTGTGATCAGTTAGCTGAATTGTAGGTATAATCCTTGGGAAGAAGTAAACAGTCTTAGGAGTCTACAGTGAGACCACAAATCCATAGAAATTTTTCACCTTTTTATCCTGTTACCTCTTGGTTTTATTTATTAGTTCTACTTGTCCTCACTACCTCTCTGGTGTATTTGAGATTTTATTTTCCATTAGACTGTTTTATTTTCCTTCTAACACCTTATATTAATTTTCTTCTTTACTAATGAAAACATTTAAAATTGAGAAGTAGTGCTATGCCCCAAGTATTTGGACTTTTAGTTTTATTGGTTTTTTTTTTTTTTCCTACTTTGGTGATAAATCAGATGTTCATCCCTGGGTGGGACATTGGAGGGAGAACTCCATTTTCTCTTCTAAAAGTAGGGAGATTGAAAATAATACAGTAGTTATTATTTCTGATATCAGAAAATACCTCATTCTAACTTTCAACCTAATACCTTATTTATTATTTTACAATTTACAAAGTGTTTTCATGCATATGATTTCGTCTAATCTTAACACTATAAGGAAGGTATCTTCATTATCTTTTCAGCTGAAGGAACACCTGGGTTTTCACTGTCAGATATATTAAAGACCTGTGTGACCTCAGGTTCTGGGCGAGAAGCAGGCACAGTCTAGAGGGTGCAGACAGTTCCTTCTGTTCCAAGGTCAGACCATCCTTGGTGTTGGCACTGCCTGCGCTGGTGGGTGTGTTCAGGACCTGCCGGGATAGTGAAGGGATTCAGAATGCTGCTGTGGTCGAAGTGGTCGAAGGCACTAAGGCTCGTTAGCATGGAGTAGACTGTCACAGGGGAAGGGGGACTGGATATAATCGAGTGTCAGCTCTAGGGTGAGAACTTTAACACTCTTTTACAATTTTTAAATTTTATAATGAAATGTGTTGGGGGTAGCAATTGGTTAATAACATTATATAAGTTTCAGGGTACAACTTGATCACATGACGTCTGTATACTCCATTGTGTGCTCACCACCCGAAGTCTCATCTCCTTCCGTCACCATATACTTGGTGCTCCTCTATCCTCTTCATTCTTCCTAACAATACTTTTGAAACAAAATTGTCCAAAGATGTGGTAAATTTCTGTGGGAGATAAATTCTCCTATTTAGTAGTTTCATCTTGACAACAACTTGGCATTTCAGAGGGAATTTAGGCACGCATTGGTCTAGATTGGCCTTTTACTTTGCTCCTATATTGGTGCCAGGCTGTCTACATCTGGAAGCTTTTAAGTAGGCCTGGGGTGAGGTCCAGGAATCTAATAAAGAGCCTGGCAGGAGCCCCTGGGAGGCTGGTGGCTTTATGGTTCTTTTCCAATCCCCAAATCTTATGCTTCTGTGATAGTTCAGAATAAAGGCAACCTGAATTCTGTTTCCTAATCTGAACTGAGGTTGCTTTGGAGGAAGGAAAAATGTCCTAGGCTATAATGTTAACAGCATTTTGTTAAGTGCTTGCCTTTTTCCTCCTCAGCGTTTTCTGCATTAGCAAACATAGACCTGGCTTTGGATCAGGGAGCCGCCCTGGCCCTGTTCAGGGTTCTGCAGTCGCCAGCACTGGGCCTCCGAGGGCTGCAGCAGCAGAACAGCGAGTGGTACCTGAAGCAGCTCCTGAGTGACAGGCAGCAGAAGAGACAGGTGAGAAGACCCTGGGTTCAGCCTGCAGGATTTGTGCACATCTATCTGAATCCCATGCTGTCGTTTTAAAGATACTTCTTTAAAGGCCTCTTTTTCTAGTACTATAGTACGTTTCCTCCTGCATATAAATTAGGTTTTTACAATGTTCTCAGATAAAGTACACATTGTCTTGAACTCTGGTTTTGGAGTCGTAAATCTTTTTAAAAAATAAATAATACTTATGCTTACAATCTAACCACCCCTTCACCTGAAGCCTTCTCCTTAATCCCCCACCAAAATCTGAGTTTTTACATTCTCACTTCAGGAATTTCTACTTAAAAAAAAACACCACACCTTGCTTTGTCCTCTGGCCAATACTGGAGAGAACTCACTGTGCAGGAGACTCTGTGCAATTGTCCTTGGGTTTTTTTTTCCAGAACAAATATGAGGGACCTTCTTTTTGTCTAAATCAGCGGTTCTCAACCGGTGGGTCATGACCCCTTTGGCGGTCGAACGACCCTTTCACAGGGGTCACCTAAGACATAACAGTAGCAAAATTACAGTTATGAAGTAGCAACGAAAATAATTTTATGATTGGGGGTCACCACAACATGAGGAGCTGTATTAAAGGGTCACGGCATTAGGAAGGTTGAGAACCACTGGTAAGGGCAAGTATACACTTTACAATTCCTAGTGTATATTGGCCGGAATCAGTAGCATCAATGTGCTAGTGGTTCTGTAAACATTTTATCTCAGGACATTTTGATGTTTCTCACAAAATATTTCTTTAAATGTCCTGGTATCCAGAAAGTCACTGCACCCCAAATGTGGCCAGGGCTGCCACTTTGGCTGCATGTAGCCTGAAGCTGTCACTTATCCCCGTGGCCCTCTGTCCCTAGTGACTGCTCTGGAGGCAGGAGAACTTACGGTCTGGAGGCAGAGGCGGGAGGAATCTTAACCTCAATGTTTTTTGCTTTTCTCAGGGTGGTCAGGCGGATCCCCTGCAGAAGGAGGAGCTACAGGCTGCGGTGGATGCCGCCAACAGTGCTGCCCAGCAGTATCAGAGAAGTACGAGTCCCCAGCTGGGCTCCTGAAATGCTGAGGTGGGGAGGGAAGTGACTTCATGTCTTCAGGAGTCTGAGGCTGGAGTCTGCCACCCCTCACGCCACCACTGCCTCCTCCCTGTAATCCACCACCAGGGCCTTTGGCAGTGGGGTTCCCCCCATCAGGGTGGCTCCCTTCATCTAGTAAGCGCCGTGCTGGTTAGGGAAACATCTGCATCAGGGATTAATGAGTGAGATTTGGATGGTGAAAGAGGGGAAAGAAGGCTGTTCCTAATGTACGGTAACAGGGAAAGGGGCTGAAGGTGAAAGGTATATTGAAGGACAGTGCTTAGAATCAAGTTTTTGTAGATGTTTTGCGCTGGGTTGTGTAAGGTAAAGGCTCAGAAAGATGGTGAGAGCTTTGAGTGGCAGCTGAAGAAGCCAGTGCTTTACTGGCGGCTGCAGGGAAGGAAGAGGTGTTTAGGTAGGTAGAGTAGTGGTGGCTGCGGATGGTTTGGAGCAGAAGGAGAGTCTGGGTAAGGAGACAAGGAGGCTGCTTTTTCTAAATAGCTTTATCGTGATACAGTTCGCATACCGTACACTTCATCCTTGTACAAAGGAGACTGCTTTCTATGATGAAAGTTCCACTCTAGGTGCCACGGCTAACAGTTTATCCACAGAATGCAACTTTGTTCTGTGACAGTTGGCGTCTCCTTCCCCTCAGGGCTTTCTCAGCCAACTGTGTTTCTGACTGTTTTCTGCCAGGGCTGGCAGCAGTGGCTGCCATCAATGCCGCCATCCAGAAGGGTGTTGCTGAGAAGACTGTGCTGGAACTAATGAATCCTGAAGCCCAGCTGCCCCAGGTGTATCCATTCGCTGCCGATCTTTATCAGAAGGAGCTGGCTACCCTGCAGCAACAGAGTCCGGAAGTAAGTAAACAGCACCTGTCCTGTTTGTGAGCAAAATGCGCTGGGGGGGAGTTTAATGCTCACATCGTGGGCACACTGTGTTTTTAGACCAGAAGCAGACTCCTTGGTATTCCTGAATGTCTCTCCTCACTCTCTCCACCCCTCTCTGTCCAGCATAGCCTCACCCATCCCGAGCTGTCTGTTGCAGTGGAGATGTTGTCGTCAGTGGCCCTCATCAATAGGGCACTGGAGTCAGGAGACATGAATACGGTGTGGAAACAGCTGAGCAGTTCAGTTACAGGCCTGACCAACATTGAAGAGGAAAACTGTCAGAGGTGAGTGCCCAAGTGGTGGATTGAATCCTTTGATGGCTATCACCTCCTTTGTGTGTCACCTGTCAGCTGTCCTGTTTTCTTCACATGCACTGTGATGTTCATGTGATCATCTTTTTTTTTCTCCTATTTTGATTCATCTTATACATTTTTTAAAAATATATTTTCATTGATTTTTATATAGAGTGGAAGGAAGAGGGAGAGAGATAGAAACACTGATGAGAGGAATTGATCGGCTGCCTCCTGCACACCCCCTACTGGGGACCAAGCCTACAACCCAGGCATGTGCCCTGATGTGCCCTGACTGGGAATTGAACCAATGACCTCTTGGTGCATGAGATGATGCTCAGTCCACTGAGCCACACCAGCTGGGCCATTTTATGCATTTTTATCCTGAAGGATTTATAGTAAATTAACAGATATCGTGACATTCTACTCCTAAATGTATGCTTATCTAAAACAGTCAGGATGTGTTATATAGCCAAAATAATACTATCTTATTCCCTGACAAAAACAGTAATACTTCTGTAAGATTCTCTAACTTCAGTCCATCTTCAAACTTCTCATTTGTTCCAACTCTTTTCAGCTGATTTGTTCAAACTAGGATCCGGTCCAGGCCCATGTATTACATCTGTTTGTTGTGTCCCTTTATGTATCTTTTAATCCAGAATTTTCCCTTTCTTAATGATACTTGATTCTTTAATGAGATAGAACCAGTTGTCCTATAAAATGTCCCATCTTCTGGTTTTGGTTGTTTCTTAATATTTTATCTTATTCCTGTACATTGGAAATTATGTATAAAGGTTTATCAAGATTCAGCCCTGGCCGGTTTGGCTCAGCGGCTAGAGCGTCGACCTGCGGTCCAGAGAGACCTGGGTTTGATTCCCGCTAAGGGCATATACCTCAGTTGCAGTTTGTCCCCGGCCCTGGTTGGGTCATGTGGGTGGCAACCACTTCATGTGTCCCTTTCACGTCGAGGTTTCTCTTTCTCTCTCTCTTCCTCCCACTCTATCTGAACAAAAAATAGAAAAGTGTCCTCGGGTGAGGATAAAAAAAAAAGATTCAATTGGACTGTTTTGGTGATGTGTATTTCATTTTGTCATATCAAGACTCACTGTCCTGTCATTAACAATACTAAGATTGATCCTTGGATTAGGGGACAGCTTTTCCCTCCAACAGATATCTGTGCTTATCTCTCACCAGACCATAATCTCTTTTTGCACATTTTGCACCATCAAAATGTCCGTTGACCGTTGACTTAACATGTTTAACCCCAGTTGATAACTCTTACCTAAGTCGATACTTTCAGAAGAGCTGCTGAATGATGGTTTGTTGATCTGTTATTCTGTCTACATTTCCCAGCTGGTGTATGGCCTTGTTTTCTTGTCTTTGGAGGAAGTTCTTAAGCTGCTGCCTCTCTCTGATTCTAGAGTTGGTCTTACCTGGAATTTAGAGGCTTTTAAGAATAGGTGATATCCTGCCCTGGCCGGTTTGGCTCAGCGGTTAGAGCATTGGCCTGCGGTCTGGAGAGACCCGGGTTCGGTTCCTGCTAAGGGCACGTACCTCGGTTGCGGTTTGTCCCTGGCCCTGGTTGGTTGTGCGGGTGGCAACCACTTGATGTGTCCCTTTCACATCAATGTTTCTCTCTCTCTCTCTCTCCCTCCCACTCTGTCTGAACACAGAAATGGAAAAAATGTCCTTGGGTGAGGATTAAAAAAAAAAAGAATAGGTGATATCCTTACATTTTCACATTTTGTTTAAGGTAACTGAGTCCTGAAGCTGGCTTCTAGAATAAATCAAACTGTTATCAAACTGTTGAGTACCTTAACTTTGTGTTCTTGGATACTTTGTCTTCTCATTCCTGTCACCACAATGACCCTGACGGTTTCTTTTCTTATGTTGCACTTCACCGTCTTTTTTGTTGGGGGACTGGGGCAGGTATCTCGATGAGCTGATGAAGCTGAAAGCTCAGGCACATGCAGAGAAGAACGAGTTTATTACGTGGAATGACATCCAAGCTTGTGTGGACCATGTGAACCTGGTGGTGCAGGAGGAACACGAGAGTGAGTGATCCACTCCCATCCCCTCGAATGTCACAGGGAAAAACGGTGTGATTCTGTGCACTGGTTCTAAACACTATTCCTGAGAGGGTTTTTTAAAATTGAAATATATAACATATATATAACTCAAAAGCTAAGGTTGGATATTATTTTCAAAATACCAGGCAATTGCTATAATTAGGTATGTAGGTAATAAGAACTAAATTTTCAGGAGATGAATTGAACATGATCTGTTATTTTTAAATGCTGTTGTAGCAAGTGGTTCTGACACTACCTGGAGTTAGGTTATGTTGCATAGGTTGAGGGCATGGTCCTCCAAAAGATTCCTGCCATTTCAGACATCAGCTGTAAGTTCCGGAGTTCTCAGGTCACCACATTTCTGAACAACTTGCTATAAATATGGGTGTTTCCTCTACCCATTCGGATTCAGTTATTTTCTACATTGACTCACAGAATTCAGGAAAGTGTTATGCTTATGATTATAGTTTTGTTATAGGATACAGATGGGGACCAACCAAAGGAAGAGATCTATAGGGCGATGTCTGGTAGGGTGTCCTCAGGCTGTGCCACCCTCCCAGCACATTGATGTGTATCACATTCAGGGAAGCTCACTTGAGCTTTGGGTATCCAGAGTTTTATTTTAAGGTTTCCTTACATACAAATAATGATTGTATCACTGGCCATGTAATTGAACTTAATTTCCAGACCACCTCCTCACCCTAGATATAGGGAGACTGGGCTAATATCATATCACATGGTTCAATCTTCTAATCACATGGTTGGTCTTTCCAGCACGGCCTGCCCCCATCCTGAAACTACCTAGGGGCCCACCATGAATAACAGTTATTCCTATCACTTGGGAAATTCTAAGGGTTTAGAGGCTTTTTCCCAGGAACTAGGGGCAAATACCAGCCAAAATTTTTGTTATACAATAATCTTTACAGAAATAGCACAGCTGGCTGAGATACCATGGGAGTGAACGTTTCTAGTTTAATTTATATTTCCTGTGAAACATGTTCAGTTGATTTAGTGGAAAGAGCCTTGCCATGGAGCAGGGTGCCCTGGGCTTGGATCCTCTGTCTGCCACTAGTTTACTTTATGATCTTGGAGGAGATCCCTAAGCCTCATCTTTTTTTTTCTATGAAAATGTTGAATTAGGTGACTTTTTAAGATCCCTTGAACTCTGACTTTTTGTAAATCAAGAATGGTTTTGATTACACATTGAAATGTACCTGAAAACTATACTATGAAGCCAGTTTTATAAATATCTTCACTTTTTATTTTTATTTTTTTCTCCAATTTTTATTAATTTATTTTTGTTACAGATGTTTCTCCTTTTGCCCCCCTAGACTCCCTCCTCCCCATCCCGCCCATTCACTTTTTATTTTTAAATCCTCACTTTTTCCTTTATCTTCAGATAGAGTGGGAGAGAGAGAGAGAAACATTGATGTGAGAGAGACACATCAATTGGTAGCCTCCTGCACAATCCAGATTGGGTTGTGGACCAAACCACAATCAAGGTATGTTCCCTTGATTGGAATCGAACCTGTGACTCTTTGGTCCATGGGCTGACGCTCTAACTGCTGAGCCAAACTGGCCAGGGTGAGGACTTGAGCTTTCAATAGTAATGTGGGTATAAGTGTGTTTATTTGAAAGAAACTAACACTAAATTAAAAACACACACACACACACACACTGCTCAGTATTATGGATGACAAATTACAGTTTGAATCATGGTAATGCTTGGGTTGTTTTATGTTTACTTGGCATGTTTAAAGATTGATTTGTTTGCCCTGGCTGGTTTGGCTCAGTGGTTGGGGCATCAGCCTGTAGACCAGAGTTGCGGGTTTGATTCCGGCCAAGGGCACATACCTCGGTTGCGGTTTGTCCCTGGCCTTGGTCAGGGTTGTGCAGGAGGCAGCCAATTGATGTGTTTCTCTCACGTCAGTGTTTCTCTCTCTCTCTCCCCTCCCCTCCCACTCTATCTGAAGATATTTGGGAAAATATTCTCAGGTGAGAATTTTTTTTAAAAAGTTTGATTTGTTTATACAATTTCTTTTTTAATTCATTTTTTAAATCCTTACCCAAGGATACTTTTCCGTTGATTTTTTTTTTAGATAGAGTGGGAGGGAGGAAAGGGGTTGGGAGAGAGAGAGAAACATTGATGTGAGAGAGACACATCAATTAGTTGCGTCCTGTACAACTTCGCCCAGGGCCAGGGATTGAACCTGCAACCCAGGTAAGTGCCCTTGACCCGGAATCATACCCACGACTCTTCGGTTTTCGAGTGGACACTCTAACCACTAAGCCAAACTGGCCAGGGCTACAGAATTTCCTAAAAAAATGACCTTTGTCTCTTCATCTTTAGGGATTTTAGCCATCGGTTTAATTAATGAAGCCCTGGATGAAGGTGATGCCCAAAAGACCCTGCAGGCCCTGCAGATTCCTGCAGCCAAACTGGAGGGTGTCCTGGCAGAGGTGGCCCAGCATTACCAAGACACTCTGATCCGAGCCAAGAGAGAGAAAGCCCAGGTGAGTGGCATCAAAATGGTTCATTTCTGTTCAGAGAACTTCATCTTTGCAAGCACCAAGATACAGGAGGGATGCCTCCCTGGATTCACTCAGTGACTATTCCTGGAGGGACACAGGGAGTAAGGGACATAGATTCTGCCTTTTGGAAGCTTGGCTATTTTACACATTTGTGTTTTTTTTTTTTGTTATTGTTTTAGACACTCTGTGTCCCAACATAAATTCTGTATTGAAATATAAAATCCCAACAATGTGTAAGTCATATAAGTATATGGTTGTATAAATTTTCAAAAGTGAGTGTGCATGTGTAATTTGTATGTAGATAAAAAGCATTAACAGAACCCCTCCCCCCCGTCCCCTACCATCCTTATAAACCCCTCCACCATCTGTCGGTAACCACCATCCTAATTCTGACACCACAGTTGATTTCTGCCTCTTTTTGAATTGTATTTACGTGAGATCATACATCATGTCCTCTTCTGTGTCTGGCTACTTCTGCCTAACATAATGGTAATGAAATTTGCCCACGTGGTTGCATGCTGCAATAGTTTCTTCATTATCATTGTTGTGTACTATTCCATTGTGTGATTATATATTCTATTGGTGAATTTTTGGTTTTCCCCAACTTTTGGCTATTGCAAATAGTACTTCTGTGAATAGTCTAGTACATGTCTTTTGGTAAATATGTATGCATTTCTAGTAGAAATACATTTAGAAGGGGAATTTGTGGGTCATAAGGAATGTGTGTGTGTGTGTGTGTACATATACATATACATATATTTGTGTGTGTGTGTATGTGTATGTAATATAACACAATACATGTAAGCTTTAGTAGCTAATGCCACGAAGTTTGTTGTTGTTTTTATTCTCACCCAAGGACATTTTTGTATTTATCTTTATACAGAGCGGGAGGGAGAGATGGAGGAATAGAGAGAGGAAACATCTATGTGAGAGAGACACATTGAGTGGCTGCCACCCACACGACCCCAACTGGGGCTGGGGACAAACTGCAACTGAGGTACATGCCCTTAGCGGAACCCAAACCTGGGACTCATCAGTCTGCAGGCCGACGCTCTAACTGCCAAGCCAAACTGGCCAGGACACAACGTTTTTTTTTATAACAGGTTTATTGAGATATAATTCACATACCACACAACTTACCATTTTAAAGTGTATAATTTAGTGGTTTTTAGTCTAGTCACAGAATTGTGCAACTATCACTACAGTCAATTTTATAACATTTTCATCACCCTCAAAAGAAACCTGGTGCCTGTGGTTATCATTCCTCATTTGCCTTCAGTCTCTCCAGTCCCAGGCAGCCATCAGTCTACTTTCTTAGCTTGCTCTGGACATTTTATATAAGTGGAATAATGCAGTATGTGGTCCTTTATGACTGGCTTCTTCCACTTAGCTTGGTTTATCCAAGTTGCAGCATATGTTAGCACTTCATTTCTTTTTATTGTTGAATACTATTCTGTTGTGTGGAATGTTATTCCATTTATTAGTTGATGAGCATATGGGTTGTTTTCATTTTAATGGCTTTTGGAAATACTGCTGTTATGAACATAAAAGTTTTCCAAAGTAATTGTAACAAAACCCATCTTTTAAAAAGTTTGTCTTACCTCTCAGCTGGTTTGTTGATGAAATGGACAAGATTTATACCTCTTTTTATGCTGTTGCTGAGTCAGAAGTTAGTTTGTGTGTAGTTGGCCCTCATATATTAGTTGCATGATGAAAGCATAATTACCTCTGTTTCTCTAATTGTGATTAATCTCCTTTTAAATTCTTCCTAACTAACAGCAGTTAGATAGGGGGGACTACTTTTTTATTTTTTTACTTAGAAGATCTCTACAGTTAAGTTCTTGTAGCAAATGGAAGAGCTGAAACAAATTCTTTGTGGTGGTTGTTGTTGATCTTCATCTGAGGATATTTTTCCATTGAGTTTTAGATAGAGTGGAAGGGCGGGAGGGGGAGAGAGAGAGAGAGAGAGAGAGAGAGAGAAACATCGCTGTGAGAGAGACACATCAATTGGTTGCTTCCTGCATGACTCCTACTGGGGCTGGGGGTCGAATCTGCAACCCAGTTATGTGCCCTTGACCAGGAATCAAACCTGAAACCCTACAGTTCTTAGGCCGACACTTCAACTGCTGTGCCAAACCAGCCAGGGCTAAAAGAAATTTATAATTTAGGGTGTCAGAATCTTTCTGGGAGTCCAAAGGTAGAAATACAAATGAAGACATTGATTAGAGGTGGAGGAGTTGAGGATAATATTATAATGTTGATAGATTTCCTTCAATTCCATTTTCATCAGAGTAGTTGACATTACATCGTCCTAATCGTGTAAATGTCACTAGTATCAGGCTTCATGTAACAGGCACATTAATGTGCAGAATGTCAGTTGATCCTGTGGTGAGGGTTGAATCACAGATCCTGTTTTGTAGCCAGGAAATTGAGACAAAGGGACCAGCTGATTTTACTGACTCAGCTGAGAAGCAGTTGGCTGTGGAGAAGCTATCAATGGAGGTCTCTGTCTCTCATAATCAATTTTGAATCAGTTCTTAAACGTGGCCAATCACTAGAACACTTGAAAAGTCATTTTAACAATATAGATTCCTAAGATTTATGCTCTATTTCTGCTGATTCAGAATCTCTAACTGGGGAAGGGAGCCTGACTGCAGTAATTCTGTGTAGGCCCCAGGGGTCATGTTTGTTTTTGCTGCCATATAAGTCCACAAGGAATCTTATGTTTGACTGACAGAGGGTGAGCTTTGGGAGAATAAAGTTGGTCGGGTTACATGTCTCAAAAAGGAAACTAGATTGAAGATACAACTTGAACCTGCTGTCACTCATGCTCTGAGCCTGACTGTTCCTTTTGATTGGGTCAAGGGAGTTAAAGTGTTAGAGGATGTGACTGAAGTTTGAAGCATTTCCTTTTGCTGTGGAATAACTTTTCAGAGGGAGGGGTGGGGCGATGGTTAGAGGGAAATTTGCTTAACACTGCCAGTCCTGGCTGGGTGGACTACACATTAGATGGAATTGCATTTTTTTAGGCCTCAACTTAGCTTCTAAGTTTCTCTGAGCCATTTTGAAAGTCGTGTTGAAAATAATAATCTGAGTTCCAAATTTAGCAAGCAAAAGGTCTTAATTTAACTTGGTCTGTAGTTCTCTTGTGATGTCTTTGTGTCTGGTTTTGGTATCAGGGTGATAAAAACCTTTTAGAATGAATTGGGAAGTGTTCTCCTCTTTTATGTTTTAGAAGAGTTTGTAAGGGATTGGTGTTAATTCTTTAAACATTTGGTAGACTTCACCAGTGAAGCCATGTGGTCCTACGATTTAGGTTTAGTTTTTTGTAGGATATGTTTTGATTATTATTCCATCTCTATATTTGTTATAGGTTGATTCATATTTTCATCAGGTATTCTTTCTGCCTCTTTCTCTTTCTTCCTGTCTTCTGGGAATTCCATTATACATATATTGATATTATTGATGGTATCCTTAGGTCTCTGAGGCTTTGTTCATTTTTCTACATTTATTTTCTTACTGTTTCTCAGAATGGATCATTTCAGCTGATTTTTCTTCAAGTTTGCTGATTCTTCATTTTGCTCAAATCTGCTGAGTCCCTCTAGGAATTTTTTAAATTTCAGTTATTGTACTTGACAACTCTAAAATTTAATTGGATTCTTCTTTTTAAAAAATAAGTTCCATCTCTTTGTTGATAATTCTTTATTGGTGAGACCTTATTCTTATATCCTTTAGTTTCATGAACATATTTAAAATAGCTGATATAATCCAGGCTGGTGTGGCTTAGTGGATTGAGCATCGTCTCATGCACCAGCAGGGCACTGGTTCAATTCCCAGTCATGGCACATGCCTGGGCGATCCCTACTGGGGGGAATGCAAGAGGCAGCTGACCAATGTTTCTCTCTCATTGATGTTTCTATCTCTCCCTCTCCTTCTCCCTTCTCTCTAAAATCCAATTAAAAATCTTTAAAAACAAAAGGAACCATGAAATCAGTGCACATTTGATAAATGGGGCTTCTGAGATTCACTTAGGGAGGAAATTTTAAACACACGAGATGCATGGAATAGTCAACTGAGGGTCGAGCCCAAACCTGGGCATGTGCCCTGACCAGGAATGGAACCAGCAACCTTTTGGTGCATGGGACAGTGCCCAACCAATTGAGCCACACCAGCCAGGGCTTCGTTGCTCTTAATATTATTTTGCTTTTCCTGGTGTGTAGGAAACCCAGGATGAGTCAGCTGTGTTATGGTTGGATGAAATTCAAGGTGGAATCTGGCAGTCCAACAAAGACACCCAAGAAGCACAGAAGTGTATGTATCAGCTGTTTTATGTCTATATTGGTGGAGGGCAGGATGGTGAGGTACTTCATATCTCAGCTTGACCAAGATGAAGACATGTAGGGGTCACAGTTTGCCAGTAGTGGGCATAATCAGGCGAAGTAGTGTATGCATTTAGGTACTTTCTAAACTGTTCTGGTAACAATTCTCTTCCACAATAGTTGCCTTAGGAATCTTTGCCATTAATGAGGCTGTGCAAAGTGGCGATGTTGGCAAAACACTGAGTGCCCTTCGCTCCCCTGACGTCGGCTTGTATGGAGTCATTCCTGAGTGTTGTGAAACTTACCAGAGCGACCTTGCTGAATCCAAGAAGAAAAAGCTGGCAGCAGGTGAGTTATGGTGAAATAAATATGTGCCCTGAAGCTAAGAACTTGAGTATATGAGAGGACCGATGTAGAGGAAAGAGACAGTCTGTAGGGAAAGATACTTTTTTTTTAGAGAGAGGATGGGAGAGATAGAAACATCAATGTGAGAGAGATACCTCGATCAGCTGCCTCCTGCATGCCCCCTACTTGGGGATCAAGCCGGCAATCTAGGCATGTGCCCTGACTAGGAATCCACTGCGCCACACCAGCTGGGCAAAGATACTTTTGTGTGGAAGTACAGCATTTAGGCTTATTTTAAATACCCTAAGGAGACAATAATATTCCTATTTAAAAAAAAAAAAATTCTTGCCCTGGTCAGTTTGGTTCAGCGGTTAGAGAGTTGGCCTGCGGTCCAGAGAGACCCGGGTTCGGTTCCCGTTAAGGGCACATACCTCGGTTGCAGTTTGTCCCTGCCCTGGTTGGGGTCATGTGGGTGGCAACCGCTCGATGTGTCTCTCTCTCTCTTCCTCCCTCTCTCCCTCTCGCTCTGTCTGAAGATAAATGCAAAAAAAAAAAAAAGTGTCCTTGGGTGAGGATAATTAAAAAAAATTCTCCCCCTTGTTGACAACTATGTTTTAAAAGGTCAATTTTCTCCCTGGCCTGTTTGGTTCAGCGGTTAGAGCGTTGGCCTGCTCTAGAGAGAGGCCCGGGTTTGGTTCCCGCTCAGGGCACGTACCTCGATTGCAGTTTGTCCCCAGCCCTGGTTGGGTCGTGTGGGAGGCGGCCACTCAATGTGTCCCTTTCACATCGATGTTTCTCTCTCTTCCTCTCCCTTCCACTCTGTCTGAACAAAAAATGGAAAAATGTCCTCAGGTGAGGATTAAATAAATAAATAAAGGGTCAATTTTCTGTAAATGTAGGATCAAATATTTGACTGTTTGTCTTTTATAGGGTGTTAGTAGTTCCTATAGTATCAAAGTCTATAGATAGATAAAAGTAATTTATCTGCAAAAGGAGGGAATAAAGATAAGATTTACATCTCTTTTTACTCCCTTTTTTTATTAACTAAAGAGGCTGAATGGTTGTGGATTTTATATCAGAAAGTAGTTTTCTGATGCATAAAGTCTTAGAGATTGGTTTTGGAAGGAACAAAGCTGATTAAATTTCATTCCACAATTGGACTTCGTAGGTGTTTTTTGTTTTTTTTTTTTTATCCTCACCTGAGGATATTTTTCCATTTTTTGCACAGATAGAGTGGGAGGGAGAGAGAGGAAGGGAGAGAGAGAGAAACATCGACGTGAAGGGACACATCGAGTGGCCGCCACCCACACGACCAACCAGGGCCGGGGACAAACTGCAACCGAAGTACGCGCCCTTAGCGGGAACCGAACCCGGGTCTCTCCGGACCGCAGGCCGACGCTCTAACCGCTGAGCCAAACTGGCCAGGGCGTAGGTGTTTTTTTTTAATAATGTAGAGGCGAGTGAGCTAAATGAGACATCACAAAGCCATAATTTAAAAGAGACTTAGGATGCCCCTTTACTCTCATAGATCCAAGGAATAGGTTTTGTTTTTTTAATTAATTAATGTATTTTTTAAATCCTCACCTGAGGATATTTTTTTATTTATCTTCATATGGAATGGGCGGTGGGGGAGAAACATCGATGTGAGAGAGACACATTGATTAGTTGCCTCCCACATGACCCCCACCAGGGCCGAGTACCGAACTGCAACCGAGGTACGTGCCCTTGACCGGAATCAAACCCACAACTCTTTGATCCTTGGGCCAACACTCAAACCGCTGAGACACACTGGCCAGGGCAGGAACAGGTTTTTAAAATGGTCTTCATTTAGACTGTTAAACCTGATCAGAGTCATCCTGCAGTGTCAGACATATGAGTGTGGGGAATGTGGCTCTGGATCTCTTACATCTTTCTTTTACTGTGCCAGGAGATAACAACAGCAAGTGGGTGAAGCACTGGGTGAAAGGTGGATATTATTATTACCACAATCTGGAGACTCAGGAAGGAGGATGGGATGAACCCCCAGGCTTTGTGCAAAACTCTATGCAACTTTCACGGGAGGAGATCCAGGTAGGTCACATTTCTTCAGGTAGGAAGAAACTGAGAAAGTGTGTTAGAGCTGACATTAGGAGGAACAGGCGTGTAGTCAGAAGCCCTAGACTAAAATTAAGGCTATATAATGAACTAGTTTAGAGTAATTATTTTTGTAGTAGTTGGTGGAGTAACTAAGGCCTATATTAGGAAAACATCAGAATTGTAAATTAAGTCAAGTAAATTATGTGCCTATTAAAGAAAACTTGGATGATCCAGAAAAGAAAAATGAAAAGTTACTCTAACTCCCCAGTTAAGTGCAACTACTGTTAATATCTCTCAATTTACATTTTCAACCTCTTTCCTGACTATTCCACCAACTCCACACTGTGCCACAATAAAGTATAACCTGTACGTTCATGTGCAGTCTGGCTGTTTCCCTGTGGTGTCCTTCACTGTGGCGTTCTAGATGCTGCTGTGACTGGGTCTTCAGACCTCTGTTGGCACCTGTTACTCTGTCTTCTTGTCAACAATGACCCAGGCATGGTTCCTGGCACAGTGTTGGGCAGATGAGTGGGTACATATGATGTGAAAGAACAAGTTTTTGTCTATGGCGTTTTGGGGTGTGAGAACAACCTGGCCTGAAAAATAGGCCTGAACTCATTCTTGTTGCTCAAAGATCTAGCGCAGACTGAGAAAGCAGTAAGAGTTAGTTTGTGCGCTGTGGATGACACTGTGTTAAAATTTGTGTCCCTTCTCATCTACGTATGTCTTCCCATGTGACCACATGCCTTTTTAGAGTTCCATCTCTGGGGTGACTGCTGCGTATAACCGAGAGCAGCTTTGGCTGGCCAACGAAGGCTTGATCACCAAGCTGCAAGCTTGCTGCCGTGGGTACCTAGTTCGACAGGAATTCCGATCCAGGATGAATTTCCTGAAGAAGCAAATTCCTGCCATCACCTGCATCCAGGTATTTCAGAGCCTAGTACACAGCCAGCTCTAGGATTCAATATCTTAAGTGTTTTTTCCTTCTGACCTCCTGGTCTTATCTTCTGATAAGTATTTCCTCTTTATTACCACTGTAATCAGAATGTACTTAATACTGTGTTTAGTAGTGAGTTGTCCGCCCAGGGGCAGTCTTTCTGATAGGGTAACACATGTCACAGAAAGAATTCTGAACTGGGAATTAGGGCTCCACCATTATCAGGTAGTGGTGAACCTCTAAGTTTGTTTCCTTATCTGAAATGTTTATCTTATCTTCCTCACCTGATTTATTACAAGGTGCCAATAAAAGAATCTGTGTGGAGGCACTTTTGAAAATGCTGTGCTGACACCAGGGAAGTGGGAATTAGCCAGTGTGCTCTCCTGGTGGCTATGCAGCCTCCACCTACATTCCCGTCACTGGAGGACATGGTCCCCTTTAAAGCTTCATCATAAGTTGCACTTGGATAATATATCGAGGAGATTTTTTTAACTTCCTCTCATCCTTGGGAAATAATGTGTCAGCTATAATATTTGATGGTTTCAGTCGCAGTGGAGAGGATACAAGCAGAAGAAGGCCTATCAGGATCGTTTAGCGTACCTGCGCTCCCATAAAGATGAAGTTGTAAAGGTACGGCAGCCTGGGCAGGGCCTCTCAGTGTGGGGTGCCAGTAAGAGATGTGTTGAGATGAAGGGCTTTTGTAACTTTTAACGTCCTTTTCCCACAGATTCAGTCCCTGGCGAGGATGCATCAAGCTAGAAAACGCTATAGAGATCGCCTACAGTACTTCCGAGACCATGTAAGCAACCTTGGGTGACAAGAGCCAGTAGAATCAGTTTTGCTATATTTTTGGTGGGCAAATGACCAAAGGAAATTTTTCTTCTTTGTTTCTTAGATAAATGACATTATCAAAATCCAGGCTTTTATTCGGGCAAACAAAGCTCGTGATGACTACAAGACTCTCAGTGAGTAACTGTGGCTCAGCAGAGAAGGAGTTGAGGCCATCAGGTTCTGGGTATTCTCCGTGGATCTCTTTTCTTTCCTGCAGGCAAGGCTTGGGGGTCGGGTGCTGCTTGTGATTTAACCTACCCTTTGCTAACCTGTGGCTACATGTCCTGTTCTTTGCCGTGTTAGCCTTTGTCACAACATAGCAATAGCATGACTGAGAAGACTGCACCTGGTGGTTGTCTTTGCACATCTCAAAAATAAATATCTGTGAATAGAGCTGTTTCTTCGAGACAATACTGACATTTCTGAGACTTAGAACTTTTCCTGGTTACTTCGTTCTTGTCTGACACGTGCTTTCTCTCTGTCAGTTAATGCTGAGGATCCTCCGATGATCGTGGTCCGGAAATTTGTCCACCTGCTCGACCAAAGTGATCAGGATTTTCAGGAGGAACTGGATCTTATGAAGATGCGGGAAGAGGTCATTACCCTCATTCGTTCCAACCAGCAGCTGGAGAATGACCTCAATCTTATGGATATCAAAATTGGACTGCTAGTTAAAAATAAAATTACATTGCAGGTATGGTCCAGAGCCAGGTGGGGCTGTGGGGACATCCTCTTAGGTCCTCTGCCTCCCCATCGCTGATTCTTGGGCAGGGTAGAGGCTGGCTTTCTCAGCAAATGTCATACATTTTTTAAAAGTTGTATATGAAATACTGTCTTTTAATAGCAAAATTTAAAATAGAGAAAAGATAACTATTTCATAATTCCAGCGCCCCACAATCATTTTATATTGTGCATTTTTACTTAATATTAGAAGATAAACTGTTTTCCATATAAGTAGTCATAAATATTATTTTTAATGGCAGCATTATAATTCATTAGAAGATATACTATAATTTACCTCTTTTTTCCCCAACTATTTGACAAGTTTTTATTATTACAAATGACATTATAGTTAATGTCTCAATGTATATGTAGCTTTTATTGTATTTAAGCCTTTATTTTTCAGGGAGATTCCTAGGAGTTGGTTCCCTGAGTCAGTGGACATTTTTTTCTTTTTCTTTATTGATTTTAGAGAGAGAGGAGGAGAGAGGGAGAGAGAGATAGAAACATCGATGAGAGAGAACATTGGTTAGCTGCCTCTTGCATGCCCCCCACTGCGGACTTGGCTCACAACCTGGGCATGTGCCCTGACCGGGAATCGAACTGGCAACCTCTTGGTTCCATGGGTCGATGTTCAACCAATGAGCCACACTGGCCGGGCGTCAGTGGACATTTTTATGGATCAGATTCTTGTTAGGAAATAGGAAGTAGGGCTGTATTTGATTGGTGTACTGAAAACAGGATGCAGTGTGTGTCGTACTTGATGGGGTCTGCCAGTACAGCCAAAGACTTTTTCACAATGTGCAGCTTTGTTTTTGAAAGCTTTTTGATTTATGTATTGGTTTTTGTTTATAGGATGTGGTTTCCCACAGTAAAAAACTTACTAAAAAAAATAAGGAACAGTTGTCTGACATGATGATGCTAAATAAACAGAAGGGAGGTCTCAAGGCTTTGAGCAAGGAGAAGAGAGAGAAACTGGAAGCTTATCAACACCTGTTTTATTTATTGCAGGTGAGTGGCTCCTGGAAGTGATATTGAAAATTTTAACTAATTTACTTTTCATAAGATAACCTTACCCATAGATCTCTGTGGAACTATTTCTGATTTCCACTGAAGGGTGAACAGAGAGCTGTCTTATTTTTTTTTTTTTTTATGTACATTTTCTTTATTTCTTTACTTACATACATTCTTATCCTTGAAGTTTAAAAAACCTTGAATGCTTTGCCAGCCTTCTTTACATTATCTAGAAATGACTTATCCCTTGGTTTTATTTCAGACCAATCCTACCTATCTGGCCAAGCTGATTTTTCAGATGCCCCAAAACAAGTCCACCAAGTTCATGGACTCCGTGATCTTCACCCTCTACAACTACGCATCCAACCAGCGAGAGGAGTACCTGCTGCTGCGGCTCTTTAAGACAGCACTTCAGGAGGAAATCAAGTACGAGGGCCCGCCCCGCCCCGCCCCGCCCCGCCATCACAGGCTCGCAGCTGGACAGTCAGGCTGCTGGTGTCTGTTGCTGTGATTAGTGTGAAATACTCCAAAGAAGCCTCTACTTTTTAAATTACTAATATAAAGTGTTGCTGCTTCTGGGGAGGTGATAAAATAATAAATTTGCTACATTAATTTTAGGAACATTTTAATATTAAAATATAATTCTTAAGAAGCTGATCCAAACACCAAGATTCCACATTTTTATCTAATAAAGGACCCAGTCATGTTCCCACAATTGAGTTTGCAACAGCAGAAAGGTGTTCTGTGTTCAGACAAGTGTTGGCAAGTATTTCTAGAGAAAGATCAAGTACCCCCTTTCCTCCCCACTATTTCTGTGTCCAGGAGATGAGATCGTTAAGTAGGAAGTATCTTTTAGCTCATAGATTCTGTGATTAGTTTAAACTGAGTTTGTTTCTGATGTTTTATAGGTCAAAAGTAGACCAGATTCAAGAGATCGTTACAGGAAATCCTACAGTTATTAAGATGGTTGTCAGTTTCAACCGTGGTGCTCGGGGTCAGAATGCCCTGAGACAGATCTTGGCCCCGGTAGTGAAGGAGATTATGGATGACAAATCTCTCAACATCAAAACCGACCCTGTGGATATTTACAAATCGTGGGTTAATCAGATGGAGTCTCAGACAGGAGAGGCAAGGTATGGTAACCATAACACCCTTTTCTATCATGTGTTTTATGTTTTCTCTCTCTCTTTTTTTAAAGCATTTGACCTTTGATTTGCAAACTAATAATTGTTCAAATAGTTTTTTCTTATAAACCTCTGTTTTAGAATGTTGAGCTGGTAATATCTTCAGTTAGTTAGCAAGTATTTATTGAGTTCTTACTCATGGCTCTCCCTGGCTTCTAGGAAATTCCAGACTTCTTAGCATACACTGTACGTAGGGCCCTGCATGACCTTCATTTTTCCTCTTTTTCTTTGCCTTTGATTTTCCTTCCTGGAAGACCCTTCTTCCTTTTTCCTGAGTTCCTTCCTTTGGGAAGCTTCCCTTGATTCCTCCAGTCTGAGTAGAAGCCCCTACTGTGGCCCCACAGCATGTTGGGTGAGCTTCTTACTTACAGCACAATATGTTTTAAATAAGTGTCTGTTTGTTTGTCTCTCCCACCAGGTAGTAAGAGACTCAAGAAGCTCTCAGGTCTCATATACCTTTTACCCCCAAGCACCTATAATAGTGCCTGGCACATAATTCAAGACACCCAGTTCACAGCTGAAAACCTGAGTTCAAATTTTGGCCTCACTATATACCAACGCAGTGAACATGAGCAAGTTGCCTAATCTCTCTGGATGTTTCTGTTTATGAAAGACATGTTCACTGCCTAGCTTTTGGTCTAACATGATGGGGGTAATCTCTGCTTTCCCAGCAAACTGCCCTATGATGTGACTCCTGAGCAGGCTCTGGCTCATGAAGAGGTCAAGACACGGCTGGACAACTCCATCAGGAACATGCGGGCCGTGACAGACAAGTTCCTCTCAGCCATCATCAGTTCTGTGGACAAAATCCCGTGAGTGCCTTCATCTGTGACCCCAGACAAAGCCAGCGTTAGTGCCCTTCTGCTCCTCAGCCCTTCTCACGAGTTTTGTCCATCTCACAGCTATGGGATGCGCTTCATTGCCAAGGTGCTAAAGGACTCATTGCATGAGAAGTTTCCCGATGCTGGTGAGGATGAGCTGCTGAAGGTAAGAATCTGAAAGCTGGCACAGTCTGGCCCCTCCAGTAGACCTTTGAGGAAAAAGTGATAAAACTAGGCCTGACCTTCGACCTTTAGTAAGTGCCTAAGCATAGATACTAGCAGTAGCTCGCCACTGATTGTGAGATTTCGAAAGTGATTGTAAGTGGTAAATGACACCTCTGAGTTTCTATACAGTTTGAATGGCCTACATCAAACAAGTTGAGGTGGATTTTTCCTGTCTTGAGATAAATTTCTAAGTCCTATCTTTTTCCTGGGAAATTGCTCCCTCTGCTGGTGGCCAGGTGCATGGGAGCAAGCACCACTGTTGCTGCTAAGGCTGTTGCTGGTAACTCTTACTGACCTATACTCCTTTCTTTCTTTTTTTTAATCTGAACGCTTTTTTCTTCTCTCTCCTAGTTCTGTGCTTTCCTACAGTGAGGCCTCGATTCTAGACTTTCTGTTCAGGTGAATTAATTTTATTTTTTTAAAAATGATACTCTAGGGAAAATGCTGTGACTATCCTTGAATTCTTCTCTGGAAGAGTTGTGTGTTGTGTGACTTTAATTTCAGAGGCATGAACTTGTCTACCTTTGAAGTCTGCAGCATGAGAACGATGAGGGTTGGACAGATTTCCCTGTGCTAATTAGGTCACATTTAAGGATTTATTTTAACCATGTTTGTTAGCCTCTTAGAATGAAAGCCCACTCGCATGGAAGTGAAAGGTCCACGTGGGCGGTAGCCTCATTTGCTGCCATGACATGAGAACAAAGGGTGCCCTGAAGTGCTCAACAACAGACGTAAAGTCTGCCATCTTTGCCTGGAGCTGCTCTTTCATTATAGTGATTTTCAGTTTTGTCTCATTTTCTTTTCTTTTCTGCATCCAAACAAGGGGCATTGGGTCATTTTAGATTCAGGCCTTGAGAGCAAGTATGTGTGCATGCATGCATGTGTGTCTGTGTGTAGTGTTTATTTTTTCCTCCCAGGACTGCATTTTCTGGTTTTCTTTGTAGCAGAATCTTTTGTGGCTTCCTTGGTGGAGTGGCTTTTAATACACATCTTTCTTTTTCATCTCTTCCCAGATTATTGGTAACTTGCTTTACTATCGATATATGAATCCAGCCATTGTTGCTCCTGATGCCTTTGACATCATTGACCTGTCGGCAGGAGGCCAGCTTACCACAGACCAGCGCCGAAATCTTGGCTCCATTGCCAAGATGCTCCAGCATGCAGCTTCCAACAAGATGTTTCTGGGAGATAATGCTCACTTAAGCATCATTAACGAGTACCTTTCCCAGTCCTACCAGAAATTCAGGTAAGAGGAAAGGGATAAGGTACTTGAAAGACTCTGCATGTGTGTTTCTATCTCTGAGGGTAAAGACAAGACTAAAATGCACACCTAGCTCTCCCTGGGCTGCCATGATGTAGGACACACTTTTTTAATCCTCACTCAAGGATATTTTTTCCATTGATTTTTAGAGGGAGTGGGGAGAAGGAGAGAGAAAGCGGGAGAGAGAAACATTGATGTGAGAGAGACAAATTGCTTGCCTCCTGCACAATCCCAACCAGGGCTTGAGATCGAACCTACAACCCAGGTACGTGCCCTTGACCGAGAATCAGACCTGTGACCCTTTGGTTTGAGGGCTGACACTCTAACCACTGAGCTTCACTGACCAGGACAGACACATGTTTGATGTACTTAGAGCTCTAGGAGGTGAGGAAGAAGATTTTTAAGCTATAAAAATGTATTCCTCGCCCTGGCTGGTTTGTTCAGTGGTTAGAGCGTCGGCCTGCGGGTTCAGTTCCCTCTAGGGCACGTGCCTCAGTTGCAGTTTGTCCCCGGCCCTGGTTGGGTCATGTGGGTGGCGGCCACTTGATGTGTCCCTTTCACGTGGATGTTTTTTCTTTCTTTCTCTCTCTCCTTCCCGCTCTATCTGAACAAAAAATGGAAAAATGTCCTCGAGTAAGGATTTAAACAAAAATGTATTCCTGCCCTGGCCAGTTTGGCTCAGCAGTTAGAGTGTTGGCCAGAGGGCTAATGGGTTCCGGGTTCAGTTCCAGTCACGGGCACATTCCTTGGTTGCACTTCGTCCCCGACCTTTGTTGGGTCGTGTGGGAGGCAACCAATTGATGTGTCCCTTTCATGTCAATGTTTCTCTCTCTCCCTCTTTCTCTCTCTCTCCCACTCTATCTGAAGATAAATGGAGGAATATCCTTGGGTAAGGATTTTAAAAAATGTATTCCTATGGAATAGACAGTATTTAACATAAAAACAGTGGTTCTGCATTAGGCACATGTCACTCTGTAACCAGAAGAGAGTTGGAGAGTACTTTTAATATCTGTCAATTAAACATTCAGTTGTGAGTTGAGAGAGTTGGTTCTCATGATGACTCAGGTGTTTGGTTAAAGGGTTCTTTTAGGTAGAGCTAAAACTATGGTGGGGGGGGCAGTTCATAGAGCCAGTGTCCCAAAGCTATCAAGCACGGTGAATTTGCAGCACTTTTTCTAGAATCAGCTGTCTGGACTGGCTTCTGCTGGAATGCATGGCTCCAGAGGTTTGTGGGATGTGCTTTCACCAGCTTCTCATGCATCTGTCACTTGTTGAGGTCTGGCTCTTGTGTTTCTTTCCAGGCGGTTTTTCCAAACTGCTTGCGATGTCCCAGAGCTGCAGGATAAATTTAATGTGGATGAATACTCTGATCTCGTGACTCTCACCAAACCAGTGATCTACATCTCCATTGGAGAGATCATCAACACCCACACGGTGAGTCTTCTTCTCCAATTACTTCATTTCATTTCTCTGTCCTTAATTACTTTTCCTGGCTGCTCCCTACTATCTCTGGAAGCCAGAGATAGCTCACCTTCTTTTGATCTCTCTTAGTGACCTCACATCTGCCTTGCTGTTTATTATTCTTAACACTATCTACTACGTTTCTCAAAGTGACCCCCAGGACACCTGCAGCAGAGTCATCTGGGCTAGTTGTTAAAAAGGAAGTTGCTGAGCCTGCCCCCCACAGGCCTCCTGAACCAGGACAGTGGGTTCCAGAACTTCCATGGGAGCACTGACCTAGGGACTTGATAACATACTGTTGTTCTGTTACTTCTTTTTACTGTGTGTTATTTTTCTAACATGAATAGAATATCAGCTTTTTCCTCTGTGTCACCTTAGAGTTCTTTCCCCTGGGGTGCTCCCTTTTCCCCCAAATATTTTTAATTAATTCCTTTCCCCTTTGGTGACATATAGCACAGAAAATGAGAAAATATATAAAATGTAAATGAAATTTCGGGTATTGTCATTTCTGAGGATATCACTTGAGATAATTATTGTAAAGGCTTTGCTTGAGTGCCTCCAAGGTAATGACAACATTGACTGGGTGTACTTTTCTCTGAACTAATGGTATCGTCTACTGGAAACAGTCAGGAAAAGTATGGCTGGGTGTTCTTTGAACTGGCTATAGGGCACATTGATGACTTTGGATATTGAACTCTGTGGGCTTCCTTGTTCTTTTTTACAAAGGATACCTTTAAATCCCGTAGACCTGTAAGGTTCCAAGTACGATGCTTTATGTCTTGTTGATTTGGGGAGGTTTGCTGAGGATTGGCTTGTCAGTTCTTTGAATGTAGGGGCTTTGTCATCTAAACTCCTTTTGTGCTCTTTGGCAGTATGGGTGGGGATGGGGCTAATGGGCAGAGTGTGTAGGTGGAATTGATCCTTTGGTGTTCAATGCAGCTCCTGTTAGATCACCAGGATGCCATTGCCCCAGAGCATAATGACCCGATCCATGAGCTGCTGGATGACCTTGGCGAGGTGCCCACCATCGAGTCCCTGATAGGTAAAGTTCTGACTTACTGGACAGAAATAAGAGGGGAATATGACAGAGGAGGGTTGTAATTAGCACCTCTTCGGTTTCTGCGCTGTTTGCACCCTGAATTTACATTAGGGAAGAAGATACATGTGATCCCTGACTGTGAGGAATGATATCCAGTGGAGGAGGTCATTTTAAATGTGTATACACATAGTCATATAGCTAGAAGTTGTAAGTCCTATAAAGGAAATGAGCAGACAAAGAATTAGAATATGGTGTTGAAATGATTGTCAAACATTTATGAAATTATTTTATTATGGATCCTTCACCATTATCATTTGGCATATATTTTCTTCTATTTCTCATCAGTAAGAGGTATCCTTGCCAAAGTACACATGTTGGCTTATTTAAATATTTTCTTAGACTTGCATTATCTTTTACTTGTGTTTATATCTCCTCTTCAATATCTCCTGTCTTTTTCATACTGATTATTTCTACCCTCCCAAAACTTTAGGAGAAAGCGCTGGCAATTTAAATGACCCAAATAAGGAGGCGCTGGCTAAGACAGAAGTGTCTCTCACACTGACCAACAAGTTTGATGTGCCTGGAGATGAGAATGCAGAAATGGACGCTCGGACCATCTTACTGAAGTGAGTATTTAAAAGTGGTAAGAATGGCCCTGGCCAGTTTGGCTAAGCTGTTAGAGTGTCGGCCTGTGGTCCAGAGAGACCCGGGTTCGGTTTCCACTAAGGGCACGTTCCTCGGTTGCAGTTTGTCCCCGGCCCTGATTGGGTTGTGTGGGTGGCAACTACTTGATGTGTCCCTTTCACATCGATGTTTCTCTCTCTTCCTCCCACTCTATCGGAACAAAAAATGGAAAAATGTCCTCGGGTGAGGATAAAAAAACAAAAACAAAAAAACAAATAAAAGTGGGAAGAATGAAATAAGTCTAAACCAACGATCCCTTGGCCTCAGTGAACGAGTTCGCTTATTCATACCTGAAATGGTCACCTGGCCTCGGAAGCCTGCCATAATTGTGGTCACTTCATATATTATACTTGGCATAGGACTTATCTGCCTTATTTGCCAATAAGATGCTAAAGTGAAGTTTACATCTCAGAAATCCTAGCCTTGGTACCCACTCTGTTATGTTGCATGAATAAATCTGGGGCCTTGAGTACCTGATGTTAGCAGCTACCTAGTAGAACCCCTGGGAGGTGATGTTTGTGCCACTGTTGCTTAGGTCCATTGAGAGGAAGTATAACACCTGCTAATATTTAAATATATGTCCTCCATTTCCTTTCAGCACAAAACGTTTAATTGTGGATGTCATCCGGTTTCAGCCAGGAGAGACCTTGACTGAAATCCTAGAAACACCAGCTACCAATGAACAGGTAAAATTTAGGGGTTTAACATATACCATAATAAAGTATAGAGCTGCTCCTATGATAGGTGGGATACAGATAACAAGAGATGGTAACCTGGGGGTAGACTGGAGACTGGTGGTGGTTAAGGCTTGTTGGGAAAGTTATTGGTTCCTAAATCTGGAGGCAGATGTTCTTGGGGTACAAAGCTCACTGGCACTTATGTGTAGTATGTGTGTGTGTTAATTTAACCCAAGGCAGAATCAGTGGATCTGCCCAGTAATTGATTCAATTTTATATAGTTAGAATTTTGTTAAATGCCTTGGTAGATAGAATAAAAGTACAGGATGTGGTTCCTAACCTCAACAAATTCATGATCTAGTTGGGGAAATGTGAAATATATTTCAGAAACAATTAGGAAACCTTTAAAAATTAACTGTAGCCCTGGCCAGTTTTGCTCAGTGGTTAGAGCATTGGCCCATGGACTGAAGAGTCTCGGGTTCCATTCTGGTTAAGGGCATGTGCCTTGGTTGCAGTTTGGTCCCTGCCCTGGTTGGATAGTGCAGAAGACAGCCAATTGATGTGTCTTTCTCACATTGATCTCTCTCTCTCTCTCTCTTCCACTTTGTCTGAAAATAAATATAAGAATATCCTTGGGTGAGGATTAAAAAAAAATTTAACTGTAGTACTGGCTGTAAAATTGCTGGAAGTTCAGGAAAAGTCCAGTGAGGAGCAAAAAGCATCAGAAAGAAGTGGGACTTGAGCCTCACTTATATAGAGTGGATAGGATGTGAGACAAGAGGGACATTTCAGGCAGGGAGTGTGTGTGAACAGAGGCATGAAGGAGGGACAGTGTGATGTGACCAGGCCTGCATGTCTAGAATGAAGACATGGGTGAAGGAGAGTAGTAACAGCTAAAACATGAGAACAAGTTACGTAGAACCCCAAACCTGGGCTGGAATTTGGCACTGGAGAAATAAGCAGTAAAGAGCCTGTGTAACCCTGGGGACCGTTTAGTGCTGATTAATTTGGTAGTGCCATCAGAGCAGATGGTAGTGAGTCATCTAGGTGTGTGATAACGTCCTAGGCCTGGTTGGTGGGGGATGGCGCTGCAGTGGGAAGGGATGGCTGAGTCACTCCATATTTTAAGTATCTTGTTTCACGATCTCATAAAATGAGAAAAGTAGGTCAAGTCATTCGTTTTTAGATTTTGAACATAGGAATCCTTTCCATTAAATGACAATTTACATGGACGCCCAATATAAAGTAGGCAAGATTGGAGCTGCTCTGATAGCAGCAGGAATGGGGCCCTTGGAGCCTCGCGTTCTGGGACTCTGTGGCACCTGTGGGTTCCCTTTGGGCTGCACAGAGAACTGTGTAAAAACCACTGTTTTAAATGAATTCTCCATTTTTAGAAACGGTGACTTATTACTGAATAAATAGATGTGTGTGAGAAGCAAAGAGATAACCAGTAACTGCAACTTGTTTAATCTACAAGGAAGTTAGAGTGAGGGAGGGGAACCATCTTTACTGAGAACCTGGTGCTAGACTGGTGCTTTCCTGTGTCCTTTCATTTAATCCTCCTTGCACTTTCCCCCAAGGTAAATCTTTCTATCCTTATTCTATAGATGAGGAAACTAAGACCCTTAGAGGTTAAATAACCTGCCCAAGATCATCTGCTTGAAGTGGCAGAACCAGATAGGGATCCAGTTGTCTGACCCCAGAGATTATACCCTTTGCATTGTGTGATGCAGAGTAGCCTTGACATTAGGAAAAAAGGCAATATGGGAAAGGGAAATGCTCTAGTTTGGGAAGGATTACAAGCCATTCCAAAAGTGGACATCTCAAAACAAACAGCTCAGGATATGGCACTGGAGCCTAAGTGACAAAATTTGGCACAGAAGTGATCACTGAAGGACTGAGAATGAACTATGGAAAAATGACCATAGATCACTTGCAGGTACCAAACCCATACTCAGTGCAAGAAGAAAATGCAGAGATGAGCAAGGTGACAACTAAGAAAAGGCACTGGATTTGGGGTGGAGGATGGTAATTTCTGATGAGAGTAGTAGGTGCAGAAGCCTGCTTGCAAGAAGCAAGTGCTGAATGAATTGAACTGCAGGTGTGGGCAGGGACATACTGGGCAAACATTGGTGTTGACTGGGAAAGATAGAAGAGTCAAGGGAAGGTCTTTGTATTTTCAAGATACTGGCATTTGCAGCATGTTTAAAAGCAGAGGGAAAACCTGAGCATGATTCAGCTTGGACAATGTGGCAAAAAGAATTAGCAAGAATTTATTGAACACTGGTGTTGCACTGGTGAAGTTATTACATTTATTGAGCTGTGTTTCAAATAAAATGAGGTGGCTTCCATGTCCCAAAATGCAACAGGGAAAAAACGAGGGATTTTGAAGCCAGCAGAGCCTAATCTAATTATACCTGAGAGTCCAGGAGAGAAGCCCTAAGAAGCCAGGTGATTAAAAGATATAAAGCGAGCCCTGGCAGGTTTCGCTCAGCGGTTAGAGCGTCGACCTGCAGACTGGAGAGTCCCGGGTTTGGTTCCAGCTAAGGGCACGTACCTTGTTTGCAATTTGTCCCCGGCCCCAGTTGGGGTCATGTGGGTGGCAACCAGTCGATATGTCTTTCTTATATTGATGTTTCTCTCTCTCCCTCCCACTCTGTCTGAAGATAAATGCAAAAATTTCCTTGGGTGAGGATTAAAAAAAAAAGATGTAGCCCTGGTTGGTTTGATTCAGCAGTTGGAGCATTGGCCTGTGGTCCGGAGAGACCCGGGTTCAGTTCCCGCTAGGGGCATGTACCTCGGTTGCAGTTTATTCCCGGCCCTGGTTGGTCGTGTGGGTGGCAGCCACTTGTTGTGTCCCTTTCACATCGATGTTTCTCTCTCTCTCTCTGTTCCTCTCTCTCCCTCCCACTCTACCTGAACAAAAAAAAAATGATATGAAGCCATCTGCCTCTGCTTCATGCAGTTTCTCTGTCCACTGCAGCTGTGTGTTCCTTGTGTTTTCAGAATGCAGTTTGAGAGCTGTGTGAATTCAGGTGCAGATAGGCTACATACATTCAGATTTTGGACTGGTGCACTGATTTTACCAGGAACTTCTTTTTGTTATGTGTAGGAAGCAGAACATCAGAGGGCCATGCAGAGACGCGCTATCCGTGATGCCAAAACTCCTGACAAGATGAAAAAGTCAAAATTTGTAAAGGAAGACAGCAATCTCACTCTTCAGGAGAAGAAGGAAAAGATCCAGTCGGGCTTGAAGAAGCTAACAGAGCTTGGGACCGTGCACCCAAAGAACAGATACCAGGAACTGATCAACGATATTGCCAGGGTAAGTGGACTGGGGACAGTGGTGGCCTGGCCATATTCAAAGCTCTCTCAGAGGCTTTTAAAGAGACAGTAGCTATTCGATGACAACATACCTTCAGTTCATGGGCAAATTAATGTCCTTTCATCTGAATTGTTTCTGATTCTTCTAACATGAGGACCTTGCCCTGCCCTTTGATAACTTATCTCAGAGCCTAAATTAATAGGAAGAAGACTGAACTAGAGCTTCCCAGGTCTTACTTTGCTTTGACCTTTTTATAATTTTCCAGATCTTTTTAATGATATCTATGAAATACAAATTCCCATTGAGTTGATCATCAAATCCTTATCTTAAAATATATATTTTAGAGAGAGAGAGGAAGGGAGAGAGAGATAGAAACATCAGTTTGAGAAACATTGATCGGCTGCCTCCTACACGACTCCCACTGGGGATCGAGCCTACAACCTGGGCATGTGCCCTGACCAGGAATCAAACCGGGACTTCTCAGTCCATGGGATGACGCTCAGTCCACTGAGCCACACTGGCTGGGATCAAGTGCTTATCTTTTTCTCCCTCTCCTGACAACGTATTTAAGAGGTTTAAACCAGCTTTGCAAGTAAATTCTAAGAATGTGGAAGTCAAAAGTAACACATTTCCCTACCTCTAGAAAATACAGATAGGGGGTTATAGATGAGATATGAATTTCTTTGTTAATTATTGAACATGAATTAATGCCTATTAAGAATGGGTGGTCATGCAAGACACAGTTAAGCACTACTGGGTTCTAGTGTTAATGATTCAAGAAGCATATGATATCTGTCACTATTTTCCTCATTTTAATAATTGTGTCCCAGGATATTCGGAATCAGCGGAGATACCGACAGAGGAGGAAGGCTGAACTGGTGAAACTGCAGCAAACGTATGCTGCTCTGAACTCAAAGGCCACTTTCTATGAGGAGCAGGTGGATTACTATAAAAGCTATATTAAAACCTGCTTGGATAACCTGGCCAGCAAGGGCAAGTGAGTGTTTCTTTTAAAGAATCCATGTCAGGGGGGAAAGAAGTAGGAGCAACTGAAGTGACATGGGGAATTTTTACTTAAAACACACTGGACCTCTTTATTGCATTAGTTCTTTATTTTGCTTTTAATCTTCTAATCATTTGTGTAAATTCCTGGTCCCACTTGTCATTGTGTGATGCAAATGAGCACTGCATGGGGATTTCACAGATACTTATTTCTAAGCATTCCTTGTTCCAAAATATCTTCCTGGTCCTAGAAATTAAATCATGATGGAGATGATTTAGTGTTCCCACAACCCATCTGTGCCTCAAAATTACTTAAGGAATATTAAACATTTTGGTTCCCCAGCCTCACTCTATATATAGCTCCCGGGGATGGGGTGCCAGTCCCTGACTTTCCTGGCTGCTGTGGAAAGTCTGGTGCAGCCTTTCTGGCACCTGCTGAAAACTATCAGCCTGCCTGTTCTATAGGCAGGAAACCACAAAACCCAGAGAGGTGAGCTGATCGGTGTAGGTTCTACTTGTAGGTTAGTTTATTTTCTGCTCCCAACTTTTCATTTTAAGAATTTTCAAACTTCAGAAAAGTTGAATGAATAGAACAATAAACACACCTTTTTCCATATCAACTTTCTCTCTCTCTTTCTCTCAAAAATCTGGTTCATTTCGCTCAGTTTGCAGGGCTGGCTCCTGTGTTTTTTTGACACGTCCCCATCGTTCTTGAGAACTCCCTGACCTTACAACACAAGATGTTTCTGGTTCCATTGCCATGGAGTCATCATTGTGTCTAGGCCCACTAAGACAAAGCTAGGTTCTCATTTTGTTTTGAATGACTACATAGTATTCCATTGTGTAGATAGATGTAACAACTGGTTCAATAAATTCTCCATAGATGGGCATTTACATTCTTTCCAGTTATTTATTTTTTAAAATTCTGCAACAAATTGCCTCTTGTACATACATTTTGCAAATTTGGGCATATTTTTATTTTATTTATTTAATAAAAATTTTTCTTTATTGACTTTAGAGAAAGAGGAAGGTAGAGGGAGAGACAGATAGAAACATCGATGAGAGAGAACATCAAACGACTGCCTCCTGCATGCCCCCTGCTGGGGATCGGCCCACAACCTGGGCATGTGACCTCACCAGGAATTGAACCAGGACATCTCAGTCCATGGGATGATGCTTAATCCACTGAGCCACACTGGCTGGGCAATGTGGGCATATTTTAAAAGATAAATTCCTAGAAGTGAAATTGCTGGTTCAAAGTTTTGTACAGTTATCATTTTGATAGATACTTCAGTTGCCTTCCAAAGGAATTATTCCCTTTTATACTGCTACCAGCATTTTTTTGCCCCATTTCTTGAGATACCCTCCCCCCCTTGGGAGTCCCAAATGCCTGGTTTTCATTTATTTCTATTTTCCCTTTGCTTTTTCCCCCCTTATCACTTCTTATTGCAATGATCCCAATAGCTCCTAACATCTGTTTCTTTTTCCTTGCTCTCATTCTTCTGTAATCGTCATGCTGGCTTAAAGTCTTTTAAAAAGTACTTATTTTGAGAAGTTTATATATTTTTTCTGCATAGCTGAGGAGCGTAGAGTGTCTCCCCTCAGATTCATTGCAGTTCCCCCAAGCAGGCATTAGGAGTCCTCACGTTTACTGGTAGGTGCTTGGGTTCTGTGAGGGACGTAGATTAAGACACTGTCAAATTCATGTTGTGTTCTCAAGTGTAATTTAAATTAAAGACAGAATCAATTTAGTAATCTTGCCTGTTTCACAACAATATCGCTTAGGCTAATCCTAACATTTATTTACCATTTTAGAATTGATGTTACTTACCCTTGTGTATGGGAATTTTGTTTTCTGACCTCATATCCTCTAATTACCAACAGAATCAAAGTGGATAGTTATAGAGAGTGACATGATATTTTTACAGGGTCTCCAAGAAGCCTAGGGAAATGAAAGGAAAGAAGAGCAAAAAGATTTCTCTGAAATATACGGCAGCAAGACTACATGAAAAAGGGGTTCTTTTGGAAATTGAGGACCTACAAGTGAATCAGTGAGTATTTACTTTTTTACTGTTTTATACATTGATTTTTTTTTCCTGCATTTACCACATCTCTATCTTTACTGCCTTTAGTGCTATAAGCTGAATGATCATTTTCATATTTTTCTATTTATTATTTATGGGCAGAATTAAACCTAATACTCAGAGTTAATGATCTCTTATCAACAGGAAGTATTTCTTTTCCTTTTTTGTGGAACATTTGTTTCAGGACATTTTCATACCTGCTATGTAGATCCCATTATAGTTTTTCCTCTTTATTTATTTATTTATTTTTTTATCCTCACCCGAGGACATTTTTCCATTTTTTGTACAAATAGAGTGGAAGGGAGAGAGAAGAAGAGATAGAGAGAGAGAAACATCGATGTGAAAGGGACACATCGAGTGGCTGCCACCGCACGACTAACCAGGGCCGGGGACAAACTGCAACCGAAGTACGTGCCCTTAGCGGGAACCGAACCCGGGTCTCTCCGGACCGTAGGCCGACGCTCTAACCGCTGAGCCAAACCGGCCAGGGCTAGTTTTTCCTCTTTAAAGCAGAAAACCATCTCTTCTGTTTCTAAACAAAGATGTCTTATAAAAATGAAACTCTGAACCCATTAAACAACAACTCATTCCCATTTCCCAGTCCCTGGTAGCCACCATTCTGTTTTTCTGTCATATTTGTCTTTTTGTGATTGGTTTATTTTACTTAGCTTGATGTCCTCACAGGTCATCCATGTTGTAACATGTGACATTTCATTCCTTTTGTTGTTGTTGTTGTTAATCCTCACTTGAGGATATTTTTCTTTTCTTTAAAAAAAAAATTTTTTTTTCCTTACCCGAGGACATTTTTGCATCTATCTTCAGACAGAGTGGAAGGGAGAGAGGGAAGAAGAGAGAAAGAGAACATTGATGTGAGAGAGATACATCGCCTGGTTGCCACCCACATGACCCCAACCAGGGCCGGGGACAAACTGCAACCGAGGTACGTGCCCTTAGTGGGAACCAAACCCGGGCCTCTCTGGTTCGCAGGCTGACACTCTAACCGCTGAGCCAAACTGGCCAGGGCCTGAGGATATTTTTCCATTGATTTCTAGATAGTGGGGAAGGGAGGGAAGGGAAAGAGAGAGAAACAAACATGTGAGAGAGACACACCCATTGGTTGCTTCCCAAACAACCCCAACCGGGGCCAGGAATTGAACCTGTAACCCAGGTATGTACCCTTGACTGGGCATCAAACCCACAACCCTTTGGTCCACAGGCTGACGCTGAGCCAAACCGGCCAGGGCATTTTCCTTCCTTTTTAAGGCTGAATAATGCTCCATTGTATATATAAACTACATTTGTTTATTCATTCATCCATCAATGGACATTTGGGTTGCTTACACCTCTTTGCTATTGTGAATAATGCTACAATGAACATGGAAGTGTAAATAACTCTTTGAGATCCTGCTTTCAATTCTTTTGAATATATACCCAGAAGTGAGATTGCTGGATCAGTAGATAGTTCTATAGTTATATATTTTTATTTTATTTTATTTTTTTTTCTCACCCGAGGACATTTTTCTATTTTTTGTACAGATAGAGTGGGAGGGAGGGAGAGGAAGAGAGAGAGAGAGAAACATCAATGTGAAAGGGACACATCGAGTGGTTGCCACCCGCACAACCCATCCAAGGCTGGGGACAAACTGCAACCGAGGTACGCGCCCTTAGCGGGAACCAAACCCGGGTCTCTCTGGACCGCAGGCCAACGCTCTAACCGCTGAGCCAAACTGGCCAGGGCTATAGTTATATGTTTTTAGAAACTACCATACTGTTTTCCTATTCGTTGAAAAATTTTTAAACTTCTATGTATATTGCCAAAATATTTTTTTAGTAGTGTCTGAAATTTGTATGAAAATGCTTACTTATCTCAGTACTTCCTTTCCACCACTGAATAATAAAATAATTTTTTATATTTTTGAGTTCATTAGTTTTAAAAAAAAGTATCTCATTTTAAAATTTTGCATTAGTTTAAATTCTGGTTGATGTGTTTGTGTGTGTTTAAAGTGCCTGTTCAAGCCTGGCCGGTTTGGCTCAGCGGTTAGAGCGTCAGCCTGTGGTCCAGAGAGACCTGGGTTCCGTTCCTGCTAAAGGGCATGTGATTCAGTTGCAGTTTGTCCCCGGTCTTGGTTGGGTTGTGTGGGTGGCAGCCACTCGATGTGTCCCTTTCACGTCAATGTTTCTTTCTCTCTCTCTCTCTCTCACTCTATCTGATCAAAAAAATGGAAAAATGTCCTTGGGTGAGGATAAAAAATAATAATAAAGTGCCTGTTCAAGTGCTTACCAGTATTTGCCTCTCTTCTTTTTGTTCAGGTAGAGTGGGAAGGAGAGAGAGGAACAGAGAGAGAGAGAAACATCGATGTGAAAGGAACAGATCGAGTGGCTGCCACCCGCACAACCGACCAGGGCCGGGGACAAACTGCAACCGAGGTACATGCCCTTAGCGGGAACCGAACCCAGGTCTCTCAGGACCGCAGGCCGACGCTCTAACCGCTGAGCCAAACCGGCCAGGGCACCTCTCTTCTTTTTAATTTGCTACTATGGGTTTAGAAACCAGATAACAAACCAAGTCAGTTAAAATAAAATTATTTGTTGCCCTGGTCAGTTTGGCTCAGAGGTTAGAGTGTCACCTTTAGACCAAAGGGTTGTGGATTTGATTCCTAGTCAAGGGCAAGTACCTGGGTTGCAGGTTCGATGCCCAGCCCCGGTTGGGGTGGTGCAGGAGGCAACCAATTAATGTGTCTCTCTCTCTTCCTCCCTCCCTCCCTCCCTCCCACTCTCTCTCAAAATGAATGGAAAAATATCCCCAGATAAGGATCAACAAAAAAAATAATAAATTAAATAAAATGATTTGTCACATGAAATAAATATCTTTAAGGAATAACCTGTGAGAGTCTGCTGTTGAGTGAAATGCATGCATTTTAGTGCATGGATTTTGTGGCCTCTCAGTGCCTTTTTTGTATCTTTCATGTTCTCAACTCTGTTCAAAATAGGTAAAGTTGCTCCATGGTTGAGTTCTGGGAATCTGGGGTGACATACTTTGATCACTGGGAGAACAGTGTATTCCCACCTTCTGGTGCCATAAAATTTATGGGCACGCCCTGGCCGGTTTGGCTCAGCGGTTAGAGCGCCCGCCTGCGGTCCGGAGAGACCCGGGTTCGGTTCCCGCTAAGGGCATGTACCTCGGTTGCAGTTTGTCCCCGGCCCTGGTTGGTCTTGCGGGTGGCAGCCACTCGATGTGTTCCTTTCATGTCGATGTTTCACTCTCTCTCTCTCACTCTCTCTCTCTCTCTCTCTCTCCTTCTCTCTCCCTCCCACTCTATCTGAACAAAAAATGAAAAAATATCCTCGGGTGAGGATAAAAAAAAAAAAAAAATTTATGGGCATGTAACATGTTGAGAATGAATGCTATCTTAAATATGTTCAGTAATAGCAATTTATCTCTGGTGGTACTCAGTACAGTTATAACTGTAGTACCCACACTTCCCAAAAAACCCTGTCTCTGGGTTATTTTTGTTCTGACCTCCTTTTCTTTATTTACTCACTTCTTCCAATCTTCAAATGCACATGCATTCTAACACACACTCTCACCATCTTCTCCTTCCAGCCCAATTTGCTCTTGATTCTTCTTTTATCCAGGTTTCAGAGTGGCCACATGGAAGGCCAAGATTGTTACAGTGACATCATCCCTTCAGAAGCCATTGGTGGCATTCCTCAGTGGCTCCTCTGTTGGTAGAAAGTGAGAGCTTCAGAGAGAGAATGCCATCCTTCTCTCAAACTCCAAAGCAGGTGGTTCTCAGAGCAGTCCTCCCATGCTGCTTCACCTGCAGAAGTCCCTGTCCTTGACCTTGTACCTCTCGTCACTCTTGAAGACATGTTCATCTGCATTTTGCATTTCACAGGATATTTTTATACGAGAACATAAAAATCACACCCTTATTATGTTTCAACAGGTTTAAAAATGTTATCTTTGAAATCAGTCCAACAGAAGAAGTTGGAGACTTTGAAGTGAAAGCCAAATTCATGGGAGTTCAGATGGAGACTTTTATGTTACATTATCAGGTGAGTCTGCACCAGGTAGAACTGAAAGCTCTGTGTCTGAGGTATTCATTTTCTTGTATAGGTCGGCAAATAGATAGAATAGACACCCATTTGGAGAAAGCTCTCCATGTGTAGTGGTGAGCTGGGCCCCACATTGTGGAGAAAGGAGCTGTTTCTGGCTTCTGTCTGATTTGGTCTGAATACTCTGAGATGTGGAAATCTTCAGAAAGCAATTAGCTGAAGCTCCCACTTAGTATTACCACTTACTGGAGCTGATACCTTGGACTCGAACAAAATGCTTAAGTATAAGTCTTAACAGTACAATATTATAAGCCTACTTAGTAGCTTGACATCCTTCTTTTAAAATTTTGATTTGGTATAAGTGCTTAAAGGAGGGAGTATTTCTGACAAGATGTGCATACATTGTGTCTTTGTAAATTGAATCCCATTTTAATTCAAAAAGAATGATGTAGTGAATCATTCTATAACATAATTATTCCTAATTTTTATTCTGTAATATCTCTAAATTGTATGCATTAAGAAAATGCCAGGGCGTTGGGAGGACTCCTGGGGAATGTGCAGCGCTGTGTATGTAATGCTTCCGAGTCGGTTCATCTCATTCCTTGTGCTGCTTCCCACTGCTACGTGCATCTGAATGTGCATCTGGGCTCTTACACAGGCTGCTCTTTCTTCATTGGGAGCCATCCCTTCTCCCCTCCTTTTCCTTCCATTGATTATGGTGGTACCACCCCTACAGCCTTGGGTCAGCCAGGTCACATTTGGTTTCCCATCTGCTCCACAGCCTTTAGAGGAGCCTCTGGTGCTGTAGGTATTGCCTTATTTGCCTCTTACCCTCCAAACTGAGAACCTTAGAAACTCTAATATTGATTTTTCTTCTTAATGACTCATAGACCCTCAAAATATGTTGGCTAAACAAATGTGGAGCGGTTTTGTGATGCACATAGCTAACTCAAGTACTTACACAAAAAGATCCTGTTATTCCCTTAGTTTCCCTCAATTATTCTAGCCCGACCAGTCTGCCTCAGGTCATGCGTTCCTTCAGATACAAATTCATGAAAGATGGAATGGCTGCCAGGTGCCAGGTTTTATGTTAGGCACAGGTGATGCACCAGGGTTCTGGTCTTCATGGAGCTGCTAGGAATTTTCTAAAAGATGAAATGGTTGAACTTTTGGGGTCCTTTCAAGCCCTCTGACTCTTGCTTTCTCATCACCATTCTTCAAAAGTGGAAGGGAGAGACACTCAGATTCCTGTTTGTTCTGGACAGTGGGGGTGGTGGGAAAGCAAGGGCTCTGCGGTCAGACCCAGCTCTAGTATCTCCAGCTCCACGCTGCTGGTCAAGTCATTGCCATCTCCGAGTCTCACTGTTGAACTTGGGACAATCACCCCTCCTAGGATTTTGTCAGACTTAAAGAGACAGTATGTGATGTGCTTCCACGATATTGAGCATGTGGTAGATACCTGATAAGCATTTAGTCCTCTCTTTTTCTCTTGCCTTCAGAACATAACAAGCTTTTTCTTGTGAAACAAATTAAGACTCTAGTAGATATTGCAGAGACAACATTACTGGCTTTGTCTGTTTTCAGTGATTAGTATATTTCATCAGGGATTGAAATGTCTTCACTTTCTCCAGGTTGACCCATCATTTAGACAAGCCAGAGACACATAATTGTGAAACAAAAAGCGTGGATATCTGTATAACCGAACATGCTGCTTTTTCTTTGCATGTTTTGTATATTTTGATCTGAGCCACATGAGTTCTTAACTCTAAACATACCAGAAAATTTGGTTGACCAATGTGTGCTTTGCCCGAGCTCTCAGGTGGCTGTGCTGTGGGATGTTCCATGGGAACCTCTTTCTCAGTTCATTTCACACCTGGCACATGAGGATCGCTTCTTTCCTTCTGGATCCCTTTCCACATTGTGTCCTTTTTTTTCCTGTCCCACTGACTTGATTAATTGTCAAAATGTTTTTCCAAACAGGACCTGCTGCAGCTACAATATGAAGGAGTTGCAGTCATGAAATTATTTGACAGAGCTAAAGTAAATGTCAACCTTCTGATCTTCCTTCTCAACAAAAAGTTCTACGGGAAGTAACTGATTCTTTGCTGCCAACCAACCCAGAAGGATGAAGGAAAGAAGCCCTTCACGGCTACCTTCCTAGGGCCCTTTTTTACCCATTGGAAGCAAAGACCCAGCCCACAGGGGTGCCTCAATCTGATGTACTCCCAGTGCTACCTTTTTAACTCCCACTCTGGACATTTTAGACCCTTTTTTCATAGAGAAGTTATATTTTGGGCTTAGTCTGATCCTTCTTGTTCCTTCGTTTTCTTCTGCCACTTACGAAAGACTGGGGATGTTACTAAAATCTCTTTGTGTTGTTGTGGTCTTAGAGGTTGCATTACTAGATTGTAAGCTTTGGTGTTTGTTTTAATCAACAATAGTGATGGTGGGATTTGAATTCTTGTGATTTAAAGGGGAAGCTATTAGCACCAATAACATTCATATATATATAAGATACACAATGAAAAGGTCAGATTATCTGTCCCTATTAGTTTGTCACTTAAAAGTGAAGTTCATTTATATTTTCGTCCCATCAGTAAAATTGAAGGATATGGGAGGTTATTGGTCTTCCTCCATTCTGTTTCTCTTTATGGGCAGGAGCTAACAGAAGTCACAGTTCTGTGTTCAAAGGAAGCATTTCTAGAAAAGGGAGATAATGCTTTTAAATTTTACCATTAAATTTTGACAATTCTGTTAGTGAACTCTCTTGTCAGGGGATAGGAGAGTCCCATCGATAAAATTCAGCTGTTTAGGTAAATTTGGAATGGTCTGAGGCATCCCTCATGTTTGAGACACTTGCTTGTCTGTGTTGGTGCAGAGATTAACTAGATTCAGGACAACAGTTCCCTCCGTCCCTATAGCATAGGATGTAATTTTTTCAAAACTGTTTTATATGTTAAGAGTACCTTATTAAAATGTAGATTTATTTCTTAAAATGTGGGTGATAGGAATGTTAAAGATTTATATAATGCTTTAAAGCCTTTAGAATACTATAAGAAAAGGTGGTTTTTCTTAAATTGGCTTATCTGTATATCTGAAATCTTAAAACTTTCTTATTGCTAAAACTAGGATTTATCTGCAGGGTTGCAGAGAAATAATCCTGTTTTAAATAGACTGAAACAAAAATTTTAAAAAACCAGACACTTGATACTCAAATATCTTTTTTTCCATTTTTCTCTGTTTTCTCTTGCTGCCCACACTGTGCTTTTTTTTCATGAACTCCTGTTTTCTGGGTTTAGTAAAAAACAATTCAGTTCTGAACATTGAATTTTTAGGAAGTTTTTATTCTTAGATAAAAAGTCATATACTTTTTTAAAAAAATCGATCCAGGAAAATGTATTAAATCATGCTACTGAGCCTCCATTTTCTCTGTGTTTTGGTTCAGTATTCTTTTATCATGACATAAAACATAACAAAGTAAACTAGCATTTAAAAATTTACCAATGTATATTTAAAGCCAATAAATGTTTTGTTAATAACAAATTATGTGATACATCCCTATTACAGATGTGAGTATTGGAGACATGTTTTTCATAATAGCCTGTTTACTTGGTCAGGTCATTGGTGCAAATGTACGTCACATGAGTCTGCACACTCCAGGCAGCCTTCAGGCAGGTGAGGAGGTAAGGTGGGAAGTGCCATGGAAGGAGTCTCCACCACCCCGACCTTGTTTTTGTTGTATTTTGCAAGATAATTTTTTAGTAAATATTTTCCTTAGATTAAAAGAAGATGCTATTACAAGTAGCATCACCTCAAAAACTGGGACCAACCAAAGTGTCAACCCGTTTACATTCAAAGAGGATTCCCATCCCAAATGCTTGTTGGGCCCCAAAGACCACATCCGTGACAGACACTGAGCCAGGTTTACGACTCCTGTCATATTACATGGCTTTGCAATTATTCGTAAAGTGTATAGTTCCGTTGACACAACTTTTAATGCAGAATAGCACAAAATGCACCTCGAGAATTTTGATGATAACTATATATAGAATGATTGTTTTAGTAGCATTGAAAAGGCCTAGACACACTGAAGTGGCATTGAAATCGTGCACCTCTTATTTTATTTATTAGCCCTAGCATTCTTTGTTTCGTCTCTCTTTGACCTTCTACCAGCCATCATGACATTTACCATGAATTCACTTCCTCCCAAGAATTTGGACTGCCCGACAGATATTTGCAGTACACAATTGCCTTTGTATCTCTTTGTATGAAATAAAAGATTGTTTGTTCATGTTTGTGTTTATTTTTCTCAGTTTCATTGTTAGCCGTTCCTGCTAAACAGAGTGTTGATTAGAGTGAGACTTAATAATTGAAACCAACCCTTTATAGTCTTTTGAAGGAGCAAACACAAGTCAGCTACCAAATCACTGAATGATCTCAAAGCAATTTTTAACATGTGAGTAGCTCTTTAAAACAATATACTTAAAGTAGCCTCAACATAAAAAGAAATAGTGGGTGGGGAGAACAAACATAACATTACTGAGTGCTGAAAGTTTAAAATTGCAGCAGTATTTAATGTTAAGTGACAGTATTAAATAATGGGAAACGGAATAATTCTAAATTAAATGTAAGTGAAAACTTGGAGGCGATGGTCTGTGTGAATGGCTGGCAATGACCCCACACTCCTCTGAGGAAGAGCGAGGTGGTGAGAACATGGCTTTTCCTGGCAGTGGGCCCTTGTGGAAGTTACTCCTCTGAGCCTCAGTTTTCTCCTTTGGAAACGGGAGTGTTGCTATCTGGTAGGTGTATTACTGAAACCTGCAATCACCTGTATTTTAACAACCTGTGCTCTACATCGTCCTGCAAAGACGTCAGTAGAGTTAGAAAGGTGCTTATCGAGGCATCACAGTGTTAAGTGTAGAAACCAGAACAAAGGAAAAATAGGCGGTAAGTAGGACGGAGCCTGGAGTGATGAGAAGACCGTGAATGGCCAGGAAAACCTTGATCCTGGTGGGGCAGCCACAGCAGTGCTGCTCACATCTGTGCCCGTGTAAGCCCAAAAAGAATTTGGGAAAACTGCCTCTACCGTTTCAACTTTGGCATCTACTTTTTTTTAAATGTTTAAATTGTAAAGTGTGTACTTACCAACATATTGTGAATTTCAAGATAAAAATAACCTCTTTTTTTTTAATCCTCACCTGAGGATAGTTTTCTATTTATCGTCAGATAAGAGTGGGAAGGAGGGAGCTAGAGAGAGAGAGAGAAACATCGACGTGAGAGAGACACATCGATCGGTTGCCTCCTACACGACTCCAACCAGACCGCAACCGAGGTACATGCCTTTGACCAGAATCAAACCCGCAACTCTTTGGTCTACAGGCCACCGCTCTAACTGCTGAGCCAAACCAGCCAGGGCTAAACTTTTTATTTTGTTATGAAACACTTCTAACACATAAACAAGAAATAGTATAATGAACTCCTGTGTGTTCACCACCCAGTCTCAACAGGTATCAACACATGGTAAACTTCGTCTCTGCCTCCACACACACACCCCACCTTGGGTTATTTTGACAAATCTCAGATAAGTATTAATCAACCATTAATACTTAAGCATATTTCTCAATAGGGAGCAAATTGTGCCTCCAAGAGACACTTGGTAATATTTGGAGATTATTTTTGTCCCATCTAAGAGGTAGAGAGGCCAGGGATGCTGCTGAACATCTTATAGTGCACAGCAAAGAATTATCCAGTTAAAATTCAGTAGTTCCAGGTGAGAAAGCTCACTCTTTCAGATGAGGACGTTTTAAAAAATTATTTGATACTGATCCTGTAGAATTTCTACATTCCAGATTTCTTTCCTTTTCTTTTTTTTTTTTATCCTCACCCGAGGACATTTTTCGATATTTTGTTCAAATAGAGTGAGTGGGAGAGAGAGAGAGAGAAACATCGACGTGAAAGTGACACATCGAGTGGTTGCCACCCACACGACCCAACCAGGGCCGTGGACAAACTGCAACCAAGGTACGTGCCCTTAGCGGGAACCGAACCCGGGTCTCTCCGGACCGCAGGCCGACGCTCTAACCGCTGAGCCAAACCGGCCAGGGCTACATTCTAGATTTCTTACTACATCTTTGGGGATCAGACTCAGTTTCAATCTATTGGCAAGAATATTTCAAAATTCCTGTTGTATCACATCAGGGTATTTTTATGATGTAAAATAGACGGGTCATTGGTTTCAAATGTCAGCTTGATCCATTTGGTATAAAGTTTCCCATTAGCTTTTCATCGTATGACAGGAATTCAGCAGCCACTGATGCCCATCTAGGTATCTTGTTTTATTAGGGTTTGCAAAATGGGGGTATCATTCCTTTATCAGATTCTTTTTTTTTTTTCTTAATGTATTAATTTTGGAGGAAGACATTGATTTATTGTTCCACTTATTTATGCATTCATTACTTGTTTCTTTTTTTTTTATCCTCACCTAAGGATATTTTTTGTATTTATCTTCAGATAGAGTGGAAGGGAGAGAGGGGAGAAAAGAGAGAGAGAGAGAGAGAAACATCAATGTGAGAGAGACACATCAAGTGGTTGCCACCCACACAACCCCAACCGGGGCTGGGGACAAACTGCAACCGAGGTACGTGCCCTTAGCGAGAACCAAACCCCAGACTCTCTCCGCGGGCTAATGCTCCAACCACAGCCAAACTGGCCAGGGCCATTGCTTGTTTCTTATATGTGTCCTGACTAGGCAGTGAACCTGCAACCTTGTATCGAGACGATGCTCTAACCAACTGAACTGCCTGGCCAGGACTGTCAGTTAGATTCTTCTAAAAAGAATTTCCTGTCATCAACTATTTGGCTACCTTAAAGAGTATTCATACAGGAAAAGACGCATGCTTCTCTCCCTTAATTTCCAGTTTTCAGAATGAGGTGGTTCCCTAACATATTGGAAAGTGACCAATGAGTTTGTTGCTGTTTTTAATCACATGACTCCTGGATGTTTAATATATTTGATGTCTTTCAGTCTATTACAGATTTTTTTAATGCTCGAATTGTCCTCTTTGGGGGCAGTAGAAGCTCCTTCACAGAGGCTGTTGAGTCGTTGGACATGGCCCTAGTGGTATTTGGTAGCTTCCTTGCGGTCTGGTATATGGTGTTTCAACCTCATCTTGTTACATTTCTCACTGAGACCTGGAATCAACCATTTCTCCAAGGAGCCCTGGTTCCTTTCAGTGGAAAAGGGAGTTTAGAGAATATGATCTGAGTGCCAGTGGTACCAGGGTGCTCATCGGTACTAGGCTGGTTATTGTTTCTAAGCTTTGTCAATGGAAATACTTTGTTTTTTAAGAGAACATTTCCTGAGTTCATAAGAAAACACGTCTTTAAATAAAATGTCTTTATCTTCATATATGTAACTATGAGGAAAAAAAATATGCCCTGATTAGTAGCATTGGTCAATTCTATGGTGTAAATTGCTGATTTCAAGCTTGATGTCACTTGTCACTAAATGGAGAGTTGGGAAGAATGCTAACAACCAGCTCTCATGAGCTATTACAGAATTACTGATGTTACCCCAAGAATAATAGGGAGCAATGGTTGGATTTTAAAAAGATGAGTGAAAAATGGTCAGATTTAGGCTTTAGAAATGTAGGGGTTGAACGGGGATGAGGAGGCAATGCTCGTGACAGGTTGTGCTAGATAGCTTCCATTCGTCCCTCCAGGTCCACTCCACTCTCCAGTTTTCTCTGTGCCCTAGGAAGCTGGCCACATGAACTGCATCACTGTGACCCAGTAGCTTCTGGTTGGATTTAGTCAGTGGCAGGCATGACAAGGAGATGATGCTCTGGGAGGAGGTGAGGTAGGCTTTACTCCCTCCCTCAGGTCACTGAATTGGCTGTCTCTTCCTCCCAAAGGCCAGAGCTCCTGTCAGGCAGCTCTCTCCAAACAACCACCCTCCTCTGTGGCAATAAGCTATCCCCCAGACCCTGCGTGCTAATGATTCCTGCTGTATCTAACCCCAGGGGTACTGCATTATCCCCCATACCCTGCCCTGTCTCATTATTAACTTTTCCTCAAATTAGCATTTTGAGTGTGCCATCTGTTTCCTGCTGGGACTCTTTCACAAGGGGACCAATTAAGGTCTCAATTAGTGAGTTTGGTGGCCTGAATCAGATAGTGGTTGTTAGGATGGAAAGGGGGAGCGAATGCTAGAAATATTTACTAGGAAGTAGAGTTGATTTACTGGGTGTTGGGGGAACAGTGGAACACGGTCACTGGTCCAGCAAGTGCTCTTTGGAAGGATTCTGTGAACAAGGAAGTTTGGGAAGTACTGTATTACATCATTCTTGCAAGTCATGACACACATCCTCATATGAAAGAGGTTTGCATCATATATGATAGGAACTCAGCAGCCACTGATGACCACCTAGATTTTCTGTTTCATTAGGCTTTGCAAAATGGGGTATCATTCCTTTATTTGTCAGTTGAGAAATCTGCTGAACTCGTGTTACCTAGCTCTCCTCAAATGTGTTTGCCTGCAATCCCAGCCCTCTTACTTTTCAGGAAACTCCTGTTAGCTTCTGTGAAACTCAGGTTCCATGGAACACGCTCTGAAATGCTGGACAAAGAGGCTAGACTAGAACCTGACTTCAAGCTTTTAATAACTAATAAATATTATTTAGGAAACAAAAGTGAAAAAACAAACAAATGAAAAACCACAGATATTTATTCTGTTTTGCCTCTAGTTGTCGGAAATAATTTTGATATGCATATGTAGGCGAGTACACTTGATAAACTTAATTGTACTTACAGCTACTAGCCTTTGTCTCTGTGGAAACACATTCCTAATCCCTGGAGGTAGGTGTTGAAAAGAAACAGAAAAGATGATGAGATGAGAAAGGATAACCCCTCTCATAAAAAGCCAACTCTAAAAGAACTAGCTTCCAAAAATAAAGGTAGCTCAATTGGTCAGAGCATCATCCTGATAACGCCAAGGTTGCGGGTTCCATCCCCAGTCAGGGCATGTACAAGAATCAACCAATGAATGCATCAATAAATCAGTGGAACAACAGGTTGATGTTTCTCTCAAAATCAGTAAATAAAATAAATAAAAAAAGAACCTGTGCTCAAACACCCCTTTCCACTTAAAAAAACAAAAAAAGACACACATACAAGAATGCTTGGAGAACTGGCTGATTCTGGGGCTGGGCAGAAAAATATGAGATGAACCTAGATCATCTTGTGCCCAGAAAGCAATAGAAAATAGGAGAGAAAAGATAACGAAATTAGAAGAGCAATCTAGAAGACCCATCAACTAACAATTTCTGGAAAGAAAGCAAAAAATGAAAATTATGAAAAAGATAATTTTCCAGAACCAAAGGATACGAGTGTCCAGTTTCTGCACATACACATTGCTCAGCACAATGAATAGCAAAAGCCCCACATCAAGGCACATCATGACAACATATCAGGCCACGAAGCCTTCAGAGAATGGGAAAAAAATTAAAAATAAATATCTCAAAATACCAGGTCACCTCCAAAGGAGAGGGAAACAGAATGTGAGCAGCCTTCCAACAGAAGCCCTGAAGTGAGAGAAAGGAGAAGCGATGCAGCCAAAGATCTAAGTGAAAAGGATTTCCTATGACGACTATTCTCAGCCCAACTATCAATCAAAGTCTGAGGATAAAATAAAAGCATGTGCACACACAGTCCCGGATTTTATTTTTATGTACTCACCCCCTCCACCCCCAGGAAACTACTGGAGAATGTACTAAAATGAAGGAGAACATGAAGCAATAAGACAAGGTAAAATGCAGGAAGCAGGGGTGGAGGGACAGAAGATGAAGGTGCCCTCAGGATGATGACAAGGGGGGCAGGCCAGCCAGTCCAGGAGGGAGCAAGAAAAGAGCTCTAGGAGAGAAGTTTCCCCCAAACCCATCATTCAGATTCTGCTGTCTTTCTGAGTTCTTCCAGAGAATTTCAGAAAGAAGGCACCAAAAGAGGGGAGAAACAGGGCTGAAAATACAAATATCAATCAGAGAGTTAGGGAAAGGATTTGTAATGGGTTGAGAATAATCTAAATAAATAGAAAATGAAGGCAATTTTTAACTCCACAAAAATGGTGCAAAAATGGAACTAGAGTACACTGTGTAAACACTTAATATACCAAAACTTACCATGTAACTACATTGAAAGAATGGGAGCAGGGAAAATCATATTTTTAACAGGGACACAAAATAGCCAAAACATACTTTAACATAATAGAGAATGAATAGTTAATATCAAAACTTTAAAAAAAAAGTACAAAAGAGCAGAATAAACTTTTTTACAGTGGAAATTTGGAATTTTTTTTATCATAGGCCTTGTGAAACTTTTAAAATAATTCACATGTATTCAGTTGACTTAAAAATTAAATGATTAGGTCAGTTATAATAAGAATATACATGGAACGAGTATCTTCTAAATCAATAGGGGAACTGTGGAAATTAAAGTCATTCAATGCAATACAGTGTAGATATGATAGATGCCTGCAATGGTGAATTGGTAGATGAATAGGGTAATTTTAGCCCATTCCAGTGTCCTACTGTGCCTTACCATGTTTCAGAAGCTGAAAGGCTACAATTACATTGCCTAGATGTGATTGTAGGCAGGATTCTGGATGCAATTTTGGCTCCTCAATCAAATTTTCTCTCTGATTTGATTTTTAAGGTGTAAGTGAAGCACAGCCTGTGCTGTGTGTGCTGATTCTGTTGATGAGGACTATTGTGGAGTTGTCTGAATTTTCTGCAGTGGTTTTCTTATGACAACAGCTGTATGGCAAGTGTAGTGACAGCTTTCCAATTCAATAGATGGCTTCCAGATTATAGAAGAGGCAGTGGCTCTTTTTTGGTGGTCTGATTCTGCAGCATGGATCTCAAAGTCATTCCTGAATGTTCAACTCCGAGTCTGCTTCTCTGGCCACTCCCCCCAAACAAACCCTTAAGCCATTTTATACCCTGTAATCTGTTTTGTACTTAAACTATGTAGAATGAATTCTGTTCTCTGAAAATGAACCCAGACAATCAGAAAATAACATATAAAAGAAGCATGGTAAATAGCACAAAATGAAACATAAGAAATCAATTATAATTAATAAAACAAGCTAAACTCTAGCTAATAGAGATGTATTGTCATATTAAATCCAGCTAGATGCTATATATGAGACAAATGAAAAACATAATTAAGTGCTACACAGTAGTTAAATGAATCAACACAAATGAAACTCAAAATCAATGGTAAATGAAAAAAGCTGCAAAAGATTATTCAGCATGTCATTTTTGTAAGATTTAAAAACAAAATTTGGCATTCCATATGCAGTGGGTAGGTCCACACATCAGAATGAATAAAAGTATAACAACATGAAGAGGAATTGAACAAAATGCACTAACTTGAACACTGTGACTATCTTGAGGTTGGAAGGAGAAAGAGTAAGGGTGGGGCTTTAGTTATTTCTAATTTTGAGTTTCTTTATTAAATACCAAGTAAGTGAAGCAAAATGTTTTGCTATGTTTCATCTTGACAGTGAAGGGCCTAGGTTGTTAATATTATTTTCTGTACTTGTCTGCACGTCTCTGATATTTCCTGATTTAAAAACACAGACACACTCAGAACCGTGCAGGACATCTTTATGCACGTCAACATTTATACTGAGTGGCTTCTGAAATGCAAAAGAACTGTTGAGGTTGACAGTCTGGTTCTAAAAGGTGAGGATGACACCTAGATGGAGCTGGAGTTTGCAGAGGCCCAGGGAGACTTTGAATGAACCTGAAAAAGGAGTCTAGGCTGAGTAAGAAAGAGGTTGCACCAGGTTGGGGATGCTGTCTCAAGTTCATGCAAATCAGGAGATGGTTTATTTATTTTTATTTTTTTACTATGGTTTTTTAAATTGGCTTTTTGGAGAGAGAGAGAGGAAGGGTGTGAGAGAGAAACATCAATGTGGGAGAGAAACCTCGGCTGCCTCCCTACTGGGGATCCAGTCTGCAACCTGGGCATGTACCCTGACCGGAAATCAAACCGGGACCTCTCAGTCCTTGGGAGGACGCTCAACCCACTAAGCCCCACCGGCTGGGCAGGAGAAAATGGTTTAAAAAAGATCCGGATTTAATAACTTTATCTTGGATGGGCCTGAGCAGACGGACAGAGGAACGAATAGCAGGAGGCCAAGGGCTGGGAGCGGAAGGCTGGAGAGTAGATAGACGTTAGGTCCTTCGAGTGGGAACTGAGGGAGACAATTGCTCAAACTGAAGCCCCCGCCCCCCGATTTTCACCATCATAATTTGGGGGAGAAGGGTGTTGAAATTGCAGTGTGAATCCAGAAGCCAGGCTGTCCCCAAATTGCAGCGTTTCAGGGAAATGGTAGGCTAGCCGCGTGCTTTGCGGATGGGGGTTTCCTCCGGGTCGGCAAGCTGCGGGAGCTGCCGCCGGGGGAAGCCCCGGTTCCGCGAACGGCGGCGGGGGCGGGGCCTAGCGGGAGGCCCGGGGGCGGGGCCTGGCGGCGGGGGCGGGGCCTGGCGGCGGGGGGGCGGGCCGGGGCGGGGCCTAGCGGGGGACAGACCTCGCGCGCTCCCGGCCGCTCGCTGGCTCTGGGGCCGCGGTGGCTCCTCTGCGGGGTCGCGCCAGAGGAAGGGCTTCGGGCGGCGGCTGGGGCGGCCTGCGGACCGACGGACGCGCGGGTGGGCCGAGCCGCAGGCCCCGCGCCCGCCGTCTGCCTCCGGCCAGCGCCCGGCCGCGCTATGGCCTCTTCACCGGGCTCGGGCAGCGCCAACCCGCGGAAGTTCAGTGAGAAGATCGCGCTGCACACGCAGCGGCAGGCCGAGGAGACGCGGGCCTTCGAGCAGCTCATGACCGACCTCACCCTGTCGCGGGTGAGGGCCCGGGCCGGTGCGGGCGGGGGCCCCAGGCGCCGGCGGGCCGCGCGCGGCGGGAGAGGTTGCGGGCCCGAGGCGGCGGCGGGGCCGGGCCGAGGCGGCGCCCGGGATGGGGCCGGCCGGCCGCGGCCTCGGCACTTCCCCGCTTCTCGGCACCGGCGCCCGTGGAGGCGGGAGGTCGCGGCGCCGGGCGTGCGGGGACGTGGGCCGGGGCCGCGCGGTCGAGCGGGCGGCGGGGTGAGGGTGGCCCGACGGGGAGGGGGCGCCGGAGCCGGAGAGGAAATCGCAAACAGCCGGCGGCGCGGCTTCTCTGGGCTCCGAGCGTCCACCGCCAGCGAGCCCGTCGGGACTGCTGGGCGTCGGGGCCGCGGGCCGCAGTCGCACCCGCCGCTCAGGAGCGCCCTGGGCCGGGGTCTGGGTGCCGCCTCTCCCCGGGGTGCTGGGTCGGCCGGCCCGCCGGGCTCAGCGCCGGCTGTGGCACCGGCACCGGCACCGGCACCGGCAAGGTGCACAGCCTTGCTGCTGACCGCGGGGGTCCAGGGGGAGCGCGGGGCGAGCACCCCGCGGGGCTGGGCGAGAGCCGAGTGAGGCCGGGGAGATGCGGAGCCGCGCGGGCGGCTCGGCAGGGGCCGTGCGGGCCTGGAGGACCTGATGCTGACCTTGAGGGACCGTCGGAGGATGGGGGAGGATGCCGACGCCGGGGCGGGAGGCGGCTTGGAGGAGGCTGCGTGCAGAGCTGCACACTGGGGGTCCCGGCCAGCGCAGCTGCGGACGCCTTCTTTTTGGCAACACTGTGTTTGGGGAAAACTTATTGAATCTGTTGCCAGACTTTTAAAATTGGGAGATCTTTACAGGAAACGGAAAATTTATTTTAGACACACACATACACCCCTATATATACATATACACACACACCTATATATTCCCCCCCCCCTTTTTTTTTGGTACGTGCCCCTAGCGGGACCCGAACCCGGGACTCTGTGGTCTGCAGGCTGACGCTCCAACCGCGGAGCCAAACCGGCCAGGGCCTCTATATATTTCTTTAAGTATAAATACATTAATAGAATAGAATAGAATTAATATGAAACTGGGAGACACTCATCCTGAATTCCCATATGACAGCTATTAGCTGGAGCTGGGTGGCATCACCTGCCCCCCGCAAATGGAGCATGACTTTTCTTAATTGGCCACACAGTCCACAGCACACACTGTTATGATCCCCCCACTGAGGCGAGGTGTCACTTGCCATTTATCATATTTTTTATGATGTTTTCTTTTGGTGAAGTTAGGGGGAAGGTGAAATGTCCTTTTTTTTTTTTTTATCCTCACCCGAGGACATTTTTTCATTTTTTGTTCAGGTAGAGTGGGAGGGAGAGAGGAACAGAGAGAGAGAGAGAGAGATACATCGATGTGAAAGGGACACATCGAGTGGCTGCCACCCGCATAACCGACCAGGGCCTGGGACAAACTGCAACCGAGGTACGCGCCCTTAGCGGGAACCGAACCCGGGTCTCTCAGGACCGCAGGCCGACACTCTAACCGCTGAGCCAAACTGGCCAGGACTGAAATGTCCTTTTTAAAAAATTTATCTTTATTGTTAAAAGTGTTACAGATATTCCTCCTTTCCCCCCACATTGACACCCTCTTCCCTGCTTCCACCCCCCCAAAAGTGAAATATTCTTATATTTACATTTCTGTCACACTCAGAAAGAAATCTATAAATAAAGAAGGCTGAGCATTTCAAGGAATTTTTTTTTCTCGTGCCCTGACTAGTTTCATTTATTACCTGCCTGGTATCAGTACACATTTACATGTGACTTTAGTTAGATTCGGGGATGACAAACTGAGAGCACATTGAGAATGACTGGGTAGAAGCTGAGGATTAATGCTGGGGTCTGTGTTGTTTAGATAATAAGTTATATGTGTACAAATACATTCATTCTCTTTGTCTATGTCTGTGTCTGTGTCCCTAAAGTTGATCCAGTCTCTCACCCAATTCACAAATCCCCATAAAACATCCCTTACAGATGAAGCCACATGTAAGGTACAGACTTTTTTAAAGGGAAAAAGGTTTTGCAGGTCCTCAGTATTCGCTTGTATGCATTTGATTATGTTACTCAAATATGTTCAAACATAAACTTGTATATAAGTTCTGTAAACTTGTTCTTTGTTGATAGCCGTGATAGAACCATAACTTAAAACATGTATAAATAGCCCTGGCGGGTTTGACTCAGTGGTTAGAGTGTTGGCCCGCAGACCAATGAGTTGTGGGTTCGATTCTGGCCAAGGCACATACCCTGGTTGTGGTTCGTCCTGACCCTGGTTGGGGGCCCTGCGGGAGGCAACCAGTCTATGTGCCCCTCTCATGTCCATGTTTCTCTCTCTCTCCCTGTCTCTCTCCCTCCCCCACTCTATCTAAAGATAAATAGAAAAATATCCTCGGGTGAGGATAACAACAAAACAAAACACACCTGTAAATAACCCGTGTTGGTTTGACTTAGTGGTTAGAGTGTTGATCCGGGGTCCAATTCTAGTCAAGGGCATGTACCTTGGTCAAGAGCATGTACCTCGGTTGAGTTTCAGGCCCAGGCCCTGGCCCTGGCCCTGGTCCGTTTCGTGGGGGAGGCAACTAATTGATGTGATCTCACATGGATGTTTATCTTTCTCTCGCTCTCCCTCTCGCTCTCTCTCTCTCTCTTCCCCCTCCCCCTTCATCCTCTCCCTCCCCCTCCCTCCTCTCCCTTCCTCCCACTCTATCTGAAAATAAATGGAAAAATTAAAAACAACAAAAAAAGTATAAATAAATTTAAAGTTTAAAATACAATAAATTCAAATTAACATTAATGTATCTGACAAATGCTATTTTGCTGAGTTGAATTGAAGCTCTCAATGTGAATATGGTGCCAATCCCTACAGCTAAGATCCTCTTGAGTTTTTAGCAAGCCTGGTCAACCTGTGCCCCATGTGATAACTCAGTTCAGCCACCACTTCTCTCTGTTCTAATTACTACACAATTACGATGTTACTTTGCCCTTCACCTGGTACAGAGCATCATTTACATGTTAATTTTGCCTTTGTTCTTTTCTACTCTACGAAATGCAGGTAAAGTAATACTAATCGACTCCACTGTGTTCATAAACACAAAGATAAATGATAACACCAAATTTGCCTAGTAATATTTGCTTATTTAAACTTTTGAGGGTTATTTTCATAATGAATCACAAAACTGAGCACTTCTAGAGAACTCTTAGATCCCAAGCATATGTCTGTGAACCTCCAACTGTCCAAAGATTCCAAATGCAGAAGAATCCATCTGGTTCTTTATTGGTAACTGGATGGCAAATATTCTGACTTTCCATTACCAGCCCGTGGCAGACCCCCTAACCAATCTAGGTATTGTTTACTTGCTGAGCCAGTGCTGAGTTTCAAGACCTTCTCTACAGCCCTGGCTGGTTTGACTCAACGTTTAGAGCATCGGCCCGCGGACCAATGAGTCATGGGTTCGATTCTGGTCACCGGCATATATACCTTTGTTGCGGTTCCTCCCCGGCCCTGGTCGGGTCGTGTGGGAGGCAACCAGTCGATGTGGCTCTGTCACATCGATGTTTCTCTCTGTCTCTGTCTCTCTCCCCAACCCTTCCACTCTATCTAATGATAAATGGAAAAATATCCTCGGGTGAGGAATAAAAACAAACAAACAAAAAACCTCTACATAATCACAGCTAATTCTTCAAGTGTAATTAAATTCTATTTGCCCATTTTGTGGGATGGACTAGATTATGGATAATTTTTCATTCTAACTTTAGGGTTCAGCCTTATTAGGAAGCAGTGGGAAAATTTTGAGAAGAGAAAACTAGGAGGTAGTCCCTGGGATGGTAAGGAGAGGGAGGAAGGTGGAAGCAGGTATGCCTGGGAAGAAGGCTATTCCTTTATTCATTGATGAATTTGTTAGTGCTGGAGTGCCCACTGTAGTTAATGGGGGGCGGGGAGGGGGGGGGAGACATGATGTCTTGCTTCAAAGATCTTATTAATTTATTCAATAAATTCTTGAGTGAGTTCCTTGTGTGTGCTAGGGATTAGGATGGAAACCAGGGATGCAGTACTGAGTAAGCAAAACACAGTCTCTTCATGGATTTTAGGATTTAATGGGAAAGACATTCATTTGACAAGTAAGGACACATTTTGATGATTATTACACAAGGGGAAACCGAGGGAGCTCTTGGAGTCTTTGGTAGGGAGTCTGACCTCTTCTAGTGGCCTAAAGGGTTAGTGGGAGTGGAGAAGGCATTTCAGGATATATGCTTGTGTGTTGAGGAAGAGAGAATGTTTTGGGCACAGGAAACAGGTTCAGCAAGTGGAAAGGGAGGGTGATTTGAGATGAGGCATTCACAGGGATCAGATTGTAGGGATAGGATTTGGGACTTGATTCTAAGGACAGTGGAGAGTCATTGAAGGGGTTGAACCAGGGGACTTGCATTTTCAGAAAGTGTCCCTAGCTCCAGAATGGTGATAGAACAGAGGAGGAGGTGGCAGAGAAACTGGAGGCTGTAATACTATTCTAGAAGATGTGACGATGTCACTGACTAGGGTGGTAGCAACAGGCAGGCAGAGAAGTGAACAGATTGATACTTAGGGTGTTCAAAGGACCACCTTAGTGAATAGATGAGGGAGGCGAGGGAGAGAGAGGACTCGATGGTCCCCAGCTTTCAGACTTGGGCCATTTCAAGGTCTCTTCCATTAAGAGAAGGAGCCCCGGCAGGAGCAAGGTGGAAGCAACTCCTCAGTGTCAAGAGACGCTGAGTTTGAGGTGCCTGTGAGGCATGTAGTAGAGATGATCCAGCAGGAGTTGTAAAGTGGCCCTGGAGCTCAGGAGGGAAGTCTAGGCTCGTGATATAAATGTGGGAATCTTTGGTGTGTAGCTGCAAGAGTAGATTCAGCTGCCTGAGAAGAATTTCTAGAACATATCTTGCAAATTTGTGGCCTAAATTATAATTTGG